TTTGAATACATTTTTATTTTTAGTAATACAATTTAAAAAATTAACTTTTTATTTTGTTATTTTCGGAAAACTTCAAGTTAACCATTCTGTAGTTTTTTCTTAAAAATGAAAAAAAAAACATTTAATTATACAAGAAGTTTATGTCACGGAGAATAGGTATAGGTTTGTATTTATCTAAATGACCTTATCATGATAAGCAGTAAAAATTAGAACAGAGAAAGATTATAAAATTATAATTATCCCGCAGTTTCCTTTTCCGCTGTATTTCACAGTGGATATTATATCTCTAAGCCGTTGTTTTATTAAAAAGATATCGCCTGATAATGACGTTTTACAATGACTGAACTAAGAAACCCATTACTCCCTAAGAATTAGCTTATATATAAATCTATTGCGTATAATATAATAATGATAGTATTATTATTAATTGGTGGTTATCCTAATCGCACACGTTCATAAAAAAGTGGTCGTTCAATTACGTATACTTTCAATTATCTCAATACCGCAAACATTTATTATTTATTATTTTTAGTTCTAATAACAAAAAACCATAAGTTTCTTCGTTCCACTCAGAATCTAAAAAAAAGAGCTGATACACATGATGGTTACGTCACTGTTATGAGTGGGACCGGTCAGAGACTGTTATCCAAAAAATTCCAACAGTTGTTAAATTTTCAAACAATATCGAACATGGATATTGCTTCGACCACTTTGATTCGATATATACTTGCAGTTAACTCGTGAGAACGACCGCGAAAGGACGGCCATTTCAAAAAAGAAAACACCTAAAACCGTATCATTTTATGTAGGTGCCTACTAATTTTACCGACTAACATATACACTCAAAAGAGCACGTGGCGAAATAATATTCTATAAAAATATAATATAAAAGACGACGGTTATTTGTGTATAGTGTATAATAATGTAATATAATATAGGTATATTTAAAGAAGAAAAAATCTGCTCTTTTATAATAACGTCTTTTTGGTGTTGATACACTGCCGTCGAAATAAACTATTCATCACTTTCATTCGGTCGTATTTTTTTTCATTTTTTTAACGGGCCTTTATTATGAAAATATGAAATTACTCGAAAATATTCGCAAGATGTATTGCGCTCTGTTCACGGCGATTATTTTATAATATTCTTCAGACTAATGCGTTGTCGTGAACGTTGACAATTTGTATCCAATATAATAATATTTAATCATCTTTTTTTTTTTTTTTTTAGGAATAAAAATATTGACGACGAAAAACTCTCCTGCAGTTTCTTTTTTTATTTTGTTCTTGTAAAATTGAAAATGTTTTATAGTGAGCTATGATTCTAGAATTTAAACTCGTTTATATTCGGTTTGAAGATTTTTAAAGTCGTTAAAAATATTACGTATTTGAATCAAATTTTTCCCAAGAATAGACAATACAGGTATACAGCTGTTACATATTAAGTCCATTTATATAGACATTGCATTTCAATGCATTTATACATTTATCGTTATCCTACTAGTTTTAAATACTTTCATTTACTACTTTTGGACCGAGCTCGTTGACTGCAGTGGCACAACCAGGATTTATTTTCAAAGGGGTTTTTATAAATTTGAAAAAAAAAAATCAATTTCGGATAGTTTTGGTGGGATGGATTGGGTAAGGTTTAATTAGGTTTATGAGTAAAATCTTTAAATTGTTTAACTTTCATTTATAAACATCGCATATTGGAAAACAATTTAGACTCATATTAATTATAAATTTAAATAAATTTCACTCATACTTACATGGTTGGCCGTTTAAATTTACGGGATGGTTTTTGGTAATAATTAAAAAAAAATAAAAAAATAAATAAATATTAATTTTGAATAATTTTTCGTTTATTTTAGACATGGAAACTTTTTAAAAATAATATCACATAAATGGTCACCTTCAGAGCGAACGGTGTAATACGCTCGTATTTTGGTATTTCCATCACTTAGTCGAAGTATTTCCAGCTGAATAACGGCCATTTCCTGTCATATATTATCTTTTAACACTTCTACAGTCCGTGGCTTCTCAACATAAAATCTAGACTTCAAATAGCCCCACAGAAAAAAGTCTGGAGGCGTTAAGTCGGGTGATCTCAGAGACCAGTCGAAATCACCATTTTTTGAATTTAATCACCCGAGGAAAAAAGACACAATAAAGCGATCGTGGCTTGAGCTGTATGAGCTGTGGCGCCGTTTTGTTGAAACCAATAGTCGTTCATGCCGTTATCAGTCAGAAATAAAATCAAAATATCCGTTATCATGGCCCAATAACGCTCTCAATACGGTTGCTCCTGCTTCCTTCGAAAAAAAACAGTCTAATGATTGTTTTCGCAAAACTTCCGGCCTAAAAAGTCAAGCGTTGATTTTCGAGAGGTTGTTCGTAGATTGATTGAGGATATTCATTAACCTAAAACCAACACTTTTGTTTATTCATGACCTCATTCAACCTTAAGCACTTCGAAAAGTTATGGGAAATTTCAAAAAACGAGAAACGACATTCACTCTGAAGGCGACCATTTAGGCAATATTATTTTTTAAAAAATAATCAGAACAAATTTCCAAAATAAACAAAAAATTATTCAAAATTAATAATTTTTTTTTTTTATAAAATTATCACCAAAAAACATCCCGAAAATTTAAATGACACACCCTTTATAATAACAATAATAATAATTTAAACTCTAAGATTAACTCTTCGAGTAGAGTGCCTCAACACTAAGTACTGAATCTGGTTTAACTTCAATGCAATGTTTTAATTGAGGGGGGATGCAGGGGGACGGAGCATCTTAACTAATTTTTCAGAAATGTAAGCTTACTTTTACTATTTGTTTGAAGTTGAACGCATGGGATGCAATGAAGGATACAACATACCAAATCTGGAACTAGCTGAATATATAGGACTATAAAAGTATTCAGTGAAATTTCTGATCTCTACGATTATTTTCATTTAATAAACAAAATGAAATAAAACAGAAAGAGGAAATGTAACAGTTACAAGTTTTCCCGACGTTTTTTCTAGAAGTTTCTTCATAATTAAGAATACTATAAAGAAAATTATAAAATAACCTCTTTATTGCACCAACAAGACAACAATTTTTACTAGGAATCATCGCCCTTAAAGTTGATAGTTGGAGCAAAATTTCTGGTAGAAAAGTTGTTCACATTCAGAAAAAGAACAAATACATTATCATAATAGAATCATAGTAGTAACCATCATATTAAAATCTAAAATAAATAATATCTACTATAGTAGGTACTATGAAAGCAAAAGTTAGTATGTAGTAAGTAATTTTTGTTTTCGGAAATAATAAATTAATGAATTATGTTAAAAAATTGATGTGGGAGGTGTGTAAGCCCCCCAAGGGTTAGGTTGAGTTCAATAATTGCAAGGGACGCTAATCTTTTTTTTATATCTTTTAGTCCCTCTTTTATTTTATCAAATCGAGCACTGCTTCAATGTCTGTATATATATTTAATGTGGCCATTCCATTAAGTTTCTGTTGTCCTATGTTTCTTAAATACGTTTTTAGCTTCCTAAGTGTAGAAAATAATCCTTATGATGATAGTCGCTCACTTATTCATACACGATTTTACAACTTCATGTTTCAAATCGGTATGAAAATCATAAAATTACGTACTATGTACAATTCGTAAAAAACTGATAGACATTTTTCGTGGTGGTTAAAACCCCCCACCCCCCAACCCCCTAGTTGCGCCATTGGTTGACTGAGACATTTAATAGTAATACAAGTTTTTAAAGAATTTAAAAATGTTTTTTACTATTTTGTTGCAGAAGGAAGGTGTTTTTTAGCATTGAACACCCTTAAACACTCCAAATACAGCCAAGGAGATTTATATGCGTGTATATGCGTGGCGTTAGTAACAAGGATATACATTTTGGCGGGTAAACCTTTAAACCCCGCCTCTGCCATTTTTATGCTCAAATTTCACAATTTAGTACTCGTTTTTTTTTTAGAATATAGTATTGTATAGTAGTACTAATTACTATTTGAATATATTATTCAATTATTTATTGTTTTACAAAGCAAAATAGACGGGAGAAAATTTTACCCTATAGTGATGGAATTTTTCTACTCGGGTGTGTTTTTATTTCTTACACTACATTCAACTGTATTGAATTATAAGTAAACTTATATAAACAATGGAGGAATTCTGATACTCTAGTGCCAAAGTACAAAAATACGTCACTTATTTGACAGCACAGAAATCGTATTTTGAAATTATTAAAAATCGAATTCGTCGGAATTAATTGTTCCGCTAAACGATTTTCGTAATAATTCCTATATCCACGTCCCTTAATATAATAATATTGATCTATAGTAAATTATATTCAGGACGCGCCGCTGATTAATAACACCCGATACGTAAAACAAAACGAAGAAAAAAATAGGAAAAACCGGGGCGAAAACGATTAGATTACATACACTATTACAGGTGGTTGGTTGTGGGTCGGGGACGGTATCGGGGAGTATTGGACGTCGCCCACATAACCGACGACGGCGAAACCCTACGGGGCAGTTATACATATATGATAATATTATTGTAATACGCAAACAAAGTGAATTGCCAATCTGTGTTCGCGAATAATACGCAACGCGCACACACCCCGAAATAATAATAGGTAATAATAATATACGCTTTGTATATATACAGTATACACTATTACGCGAACGGGCAATCGTCCGAAATAATAACATCGCGTCCTGGTGCTGCTGGGGGTCGCGGTGGAACGACGACGTTAGGCCGCCGCCGCGCCGTGCCGTGCCGTACGATTTCTGGTCACGCACGTGCGTCCGCTGCCATTGTGTCTGAAATTCGGAGGGGGGGCATGTGGGTGGCGGCTGGTGGTGTTGTCGGTGGTGGCGGCGGCGGCGGCGGCGGTGGTGTCCGTGGCGGTACGGCAGACGGGACGTGACGGGGCTGAGGGCGGCTGGCGGGCTGGCTGACGAGCTGCGAGGTAGTCGGAATGTTCGTCGTCGTTGTCGTCGTCGTCGTCGCCGCCACCGCCACCGTCGTCGGAGCGTGCGTGTTGAGAACGCCCAGCCGGCGCGGGCGGTTAGCGAACGACGGAGCGCTTTACGCCGGGCAACGCGCGGCCGGCCGTCAAACGCACACACACCATACCGCCAGTGTGTCGGCGTACCGCGGTTCGGGCACACACGCACTGCACCGCGCTCGAACCGAAGTCCCCGCGGACTGGCTCGCCAGACCAGAAACGCTCGTCAGTATCACGTCCGTCCACGTCCGTCCGCCGCCGATACAAACTTTCGATACGCATATTATATTGTGCACGGCAATACAATTGTATCTACGTCCGGTATATAGCCGTCACGGCGGGAGGGGGGGCGTCCGGGATTGGAACCCGCGGTCTCGCCAGTAGCACGCCCCAAAGCCGCGGTCCCTTACCGTACCGGGGCGACGGATGGTATTGACAGAACCGCCGCCGGGTCGGTTGTCGCAGGTAGTGAAAACCATTGCGGGTCCGGCGGTGCACTCGCCGCAGCAGCTGCAACACCACCACCACCACCGCCGGCACCGGTGGTGTCAGTGGCGTGCGGCGTGACGCGCGCGACCGATTGTGGGGACGCGCACCATGCAACGCGATGCGCTCCGCCAGCTCCGAACTGTTGCTGGATACCAAGCAGCAGCAACTCCGCAAGAAGAAGCTGCTGGAATTAGCGGCGGCCAAGAATCAAAAACGGGGCACCCCGCGGACGTTCCGAGAGAAAGTGTGGTTCTATTCCACGATGTCGTTCGCCATGATAGCCGTGGGCTCGGGCTCGGCGCTGCTGTTTCTCGTGCCGCTGTACGTGGACCCGGCCGTGTCCACGCTGCTGGCCGACTTCGATCCGGAACCGGTCCAATGCAAGACGGTGCGCCACGAGCAGCTGACCGGTTTGTACAACTGCACGTGGAGCTCGTGCCGAGAGGGGTGCACCAGCGACATGTACAACTGCAGTCACATTTACGTGGTGTACAAGACAGCCGGTGGAGGCGGCGGCGGTGGCGACAGTGGCGGAGACATCGGCGACGCGGGAGACGACGGTCGCCGTGGCCGCGGTGGTGGTACAGGTGCAGGTGGCTACGACAACGGCAGAATCTACGAGCGGGAAGCCGTGCTCCTCGTAAACATCAAGGGCTGCGGGTACCCGCCGGCCGTGGTTTGCTCCAACTTCACAAAGGCGTACGGCCAGGTGGGCTTCACGTTCCCGTGCCACTATTCCCGGCAGAATTACACGCTGACCATGGTCGGCTACGACAAACGGCAGCAGTACGCAGACATAGTCCACTTCTTCGCCGTGCCGTTCACCATTTGCGTCATCACGTCCATCGTGCTGTGCGTCATGCACTGCGACTGCCAGTCGACGGCCACTGCGTCTCGACCATCAGAACCGTCCAGGAGTTCTGCGGGACACTCACACACCGAGGGGTTCAGGTACGCGCCCATAAACAATATTATTGCTACAATAACATTTTGGAATAGAAGAAAATGTGTTCTATGCCGGACGTGCGTCAGGGGTTAATTTAGGCACTTTTCCCCTCCCTCCGATATCTTATAAACATATATTTTATTAACATTATGTTTTTTTTCATAGATAACATTATCTAATTCCGTGATTCTCAGCCGGTGTGTCGCGTATTATTATAACGCTAGTCGACGAAATAATTGTTTTTGAAATTCGATTTGAATGAATACCATAAGTACAAAATTAAGCACAAGAATATAAGTAAATAAAAAAAAGGCATTAGCCGATTAACGCGGTCAATTGTGTCATCATTTTTAAAAGTCTAAATTAGGGTGCTATCGAAAAAATACTGGACCACTGAAACCACTGAAATAACATAATTTTTTTTCAAGTTTAATTTTAACCCTGCGCCCTCCCAACTACAACCATGTAAAACTACTAACAGAAATTATAAGTAGCATAATATGATTCCATACAGGAATAATAATTATTCACCGCGAATATTCAAATGTACAAACACGAAAAAATAATTTCTACTTGATATTTTGAATCTTGATACTTAAATTGTAAACAATTATAGTATTATCACATTTTGCATTGCTCGCAATATTGTAGAAATTAATACATTTTGTTAAAATATAGTGTAGTGTTTTACAAATTTTATTTGTTCTACGTCCCCTTACAGATTTTCGAAAATCTCACGCTTCCACCTGTTAATTAAAAATATGAGGTAAATTGTTTTTATTTGTTAATTTGTACATTTATGTTTTATTCTTACAATTTCATCATCACTATATTACCGCCCGCGCAGTATCAAAATTCCTCCCTAGAGAGGAACTTTTTCCCGTTGGGAAACACTGGTACAGTATGTTATATACGACTCCGAAATTTTAGTTTTGTGATTACCGCGATTGAAAATATAACGATATCGAACCGGTCACTGTAATAGAATTTTGTTTTTATAATGGATAAACGATGGAGTCTTGGCGATGGAGTTAATGTAGTTTTACGGAAATTTTTACAAACTTTTACATTTTTTAATATTAGTAGGATTATTTACGCTCTCGATACGATAGTATAATTATTTAATGCGATCTGAGATAGCAAAGAAAAAGTTCAGAACTGTCTCGGGCCGGACATTGTGCACGGGTGAAAGCTTGTATTTAGACTCGGGTATATAATATAATATCACAAACGAAACGAAATAAACTCGTTTGGGAGTCATAATTCAAAAGTAAAATACTTTTGTGGAAATGATAAAGTAAATTTGTTTTTTAAAAAAAAATTCTACATTCGGTGGTAATGACTTGAGCGTTCGCGTAATAAATAACGTACCTACAGTTAAAGTGACGAATGCGCGTTGACTAGAATTCCAAACTTTTAGTAAAAGTAATTATATTCTATCCTGTAGCTTAAACGACCCCCGAAAGACGCGTTTTAATTCGTTTAAAACGAACCACACAAGTAAAAATACCGTTTTAATTAGATCGTTTAGAAAAAACGCGTTTTTTTTTTTTTTTTTTTTAATGTAATATTAGTTATAAATAGTTCTGTTTGGAAAAAAATGAAAAAACGACCAGAGGTGGAGTCGGAAATGGGGAAATGTTTATGCAATTTTATTATTTTATTTATTGATGGCCTATAGTTAAATACATAGCAGCGAATGGAATAGTATTATACCTATATATTATTGTTTGTTCTTCTCGTTTGTCTTCATCCCAATAATTTCGATCGCTCTCTGCGGTTTTGAAAAACACTTCACCATAATAATAATAAAAACAAAAAAACAGTAATGTGCTAAAGACTGGATTGAAAACTGCGTATAACTCGCCGTGTATCTGACGGAGTTAAACGGAAAATTATGTTTTTTTTTCATATTGAATTTTTATCAAAAATATTAGATATTCAGAGAGTACAAAGTCTATGAAATAATTTTCCGTTCGAATCGTTCTTTATTTAACGTCGCTTCAGATATTATAGTGGACTCGATACATCATATTATAATGTACAATAACAAATAGTTATAAAATAATTGGTCGAGTATTAATACGATATAAGTCAGTTAGATCAAGTTGAAATTCATCTCATCGTCTATTTCCAAGCTCCAAGAATCATTTTCCCACCCTCCACATCTATCTTCATTTCCATCCAAAATATCTCTACGCGACGATGTCTTATAGAAGAAACTGACCAACACAATTATAATTCCAAACAATTCAATCATCAATTAAAGCAACTCATCTTATCACTCAGCTCAAAACCATAATTCTTCCATACATTTACCCTCTGGAAAAATCGTGAGTTTGTTACAGAGAAATGTACACAATGCTGTATGATGTACCTATGTTAAAATAAGTATAGAAACGTAGTAATAAAAATGAGTTAAAAATGAAAAAACCAGACCAGGAAAGTCGAAAATATCATTAAATAAAATAGTTCATTTGTTACATGTTAATTAATTAGATCTTTATTGTGTCTATCATTAAAATTAAGAAAACAGTTAAGTAATATTATATTTATACACAATAAGCTAAAAAACAAAGAAAGAAAATAGGCATTCACCGCTATAAATTCACAACACTAATTACCTATGTAATAAACACCCTGTATATAATAATTATAATAAAGACCCCTATTCGGGAATGGGGGAATATTCACCATCAAGGTTAATTTAGCAAGCTGCTGAAAATTTAACAGCGAATTCATAATGTTATCAACCACGAATTACCGGCAACCATATTATTATTATTAATAGAACGTCTAACCTTTTGTTTTTTTTTTTACGAAAACACGTTATTTCAATTTAAATAATTATTACAAATTTAATGAAAATTGTAACGTAGTATTCTTTTTTTTTTTTTTCTGTATGGTATTCGTGTAACTACCTATAATATAATAATAGGAACGTATAGTGCTGTTTGAAATAATAATTTTTTTTAATATAATAATATGTTATAATCATACGTGTACATACAGAGACAGTAGGTATTACTACCACGTAATGATAACATTTCATTTTCGTGTTAGAAAAAAAAAATAGGTTCCTCTATACCCAATATAATATCGTGGGATATACGAATATAAAAAAGTGTGCTATTCGTGCGTATATGATAATAAAAAAAATATACATATTTATCACACGGGCATACCGCATACACAATTGCAACTTTCGTGTCAAATAATATTATTAGGTATACTTGTCATAGTAAATATTATATTCTAATTTCGTTATATAATGATAATATTATAGTTGAACTTTATCTTCAGTGGCGTGCTCAGCATATTCATGTTTAGGGCAGGGAGTTGAATCTGAATATAACTAGTTATATGCATAAAATCATTAAACATACCTATTATTTTTAGGTACAATACCCGGTGCCTACTATATCCCCTTCAAACAACATATAATATTTACTCTCATATAGAATCTCATATATAATATGAAATTCTAAAGCCAAACGAATAATTTTACGTTTGTATGAGCTTCTGGAATAATAAGTAATTCTGGCTCATCTTTAATGTGCGGAAAATTGAATAATTGTATACCTTTGTGCTTAGGCCCAGAAAAAGATGGAGTTAAGTCAATTTTCTATTGTTTGAAATGCAAGGAAATTAAATTTGAGAATTACTAAATTGCCGCATAATAAACATGACTTTTGTCTTTTTTCCCAAATAAAAAGTACATTATAGTGACTGAAGATATTGTAATTTTCGGTATAAAGTGTATTAAAATATACATACGCTCATGTCATCTAGATAAAAAAATAGGAAATTACAAAAGAAAATCCAAAAATTTAATGAATATATTCCAACCAAAGATATAATTTAAATCTTGTACGGTAATAGTAATTAAGTAAACGATTGATACGGTGGCTTTGTATTAAATATTGTCACCAACAATTAATACAAGACAATAATTACATGAAATTCATATAGCATACATACCTAAATTATTTACCAAAAAAGTTCAAGAGAGAGATATGAAAACACCCTCCTATGAGCACGCCCTTGTTTATCTTATCCGCTTAGTTGACGGAAAGTATCAAACACGTACAAAAGAGGGTTTCCGGGAAGAAGGGCGAGCGTTAAATATCTCCATGGGATTTTAAGAAAGTTTATAAAATATGTTGTTTTTACAAGATGTAACGTTAACTAACCTTCATTTTTTAGGTATAATCTTGTTGTAACCCCATAAATATAATATCATTTTCGTCTACATTACCGTAGTATATCTTTCGATATAGTTAATGGTTTTATTCAATTCATTCTCAAATTATATAAAATATTGTCTAACTCAATGCTCTGATTAACTACTTAAAAATTAGTAGGCATATTATAAGTGATGCTCGTAATAAATTGTTTTTTATACATGCATATAAAGTCGTAATTAGGACTGGGAATGTATAATACACCATAAAATATCAATAATGCTTGTATGCCCTTAACATACTAAATAATGCGCCTATAAAATAAGTTCTCTAAAAAAATGGAATAAAATGACTTAAAATCAAAATCGAAGTTCCTTATTCACATTCAAAAGTATATGAAACGAATTTGTAACAAAACGAGCATCGCAGTTGCTGCAAGCTTTGGAAACAATGCAATAAATTCCATTGAAATCCCAGTCTTAGTAATAATAAAGTTATTTATTAAAGTTCAAACCGAAGGAATAAAAGAATAGAAATTGATGATATTTTTTCAAACAATTTTTATAATATTATTATGCATTTAAAAATAATTAATTAATTCGATTAAATATAAACAAATTATAATATTATTATTAGCCACAGATTAAAAATTAACATTTTTACTATTATTTTTATAAAATATCTATAACTTTTCCATTTTTCCATTCAGACTCCTATTGATCAGTGATACGATAATTATCTATATGAAGATAAAATATAGATAACAATTTAATTGTTTAGATAATGATTAATAGTCACACTTTTTATCTAGTAATAAAAAGATGATTTTGTTCACTGCAGATTATCACGAAATTAAGATCTAAAAGTAAGTAAAAGTGTACAACATTTGGAACCTACATGTTTGTACTTAGAAAAATTAGTGTGATCAAAAACACGTAATAATTAACTTATTTTACTATATTAATATAAATTATATAGTTTGTATAGTTTGACTATTATTTCCAACGATCATACAAATTTAAAAAGATTTATGGAGATGGATTTATTTAGATGAACCAATTATTTATCTCTGATAACTTATATATCATTTATCTAGATAAGATAAAACATAACGTTTCTAATTACCTATTTATACTATTGCAATTTATTGTAAAAAAAATAAAAAATAAAAATATTTCAATAATTTAATGACATAGAAAGTAGGATAATATAATAACTCATGATCGACATCATTTTTTTTTTCGCCGTGGACATCTAACACCGTATTTATTAGAAAACAGAAACATTTAATACCTAATATTTTTGCGTTTACGGTGTTCAAATGAATTTATGAGAAAACCTAGAGCCAAAAAATTAGCATTGAGGTTATGACGAAGGTGGGTAGAGGGGTAGAGTAGGTGAGATCGAAAAAATTCGAATGTTAAAAAATCCACAGGTGGATGAAATGAGTATATTTTCGAGTAGAAAAAAAATTGTCTTACAATAGGTACCTGTATAATGGTATAATAGTATAATTTCAGCAACGCGATCCGATTATTTTTCTCGTTTGTAAAAATATATTACTCAAAGTTCGTCCATAAATAATTACAATGCGAGTAAATCGTTTACAACGCCGGTTATATAATACAATTTACAATCATTTATTATTTCAATATTTTTATTCGGAAGCATTTCGTATATCATAAATAATATTATAACGGGTGGGGGGACGGACCTTTGTGGGATGGGGGGGACGCGTACGGGGTGTGTGACATTCGGCAATCAATAAAATTAGGTACGGGCGAGGAGGGTTTGCGTATATATTAGACGCAGAAAAATGCCGGGGTGAAAATATATTCCTAAATTCAGAATAAATATTTTTATTTGTTAATTCCCCCCCTCCACCTTCTCTTGTTTATAATATATCGCTGCAGGCCGGCAAATCGCTCGTGGAAATTATAATTTAAATATCACACGTTCAGACCAAAAACCGTGAGACGGAAAGCGAGAAAAACATTTTATTAATACAATAAATAATCTTCGACGGCTGGCTGAACATTTTTTACATCACGAGTTTAGTTGCCCGTTCAGTCGGCACAATAATATATTAATAATATAATAATATGCAACGTACTATTTTCGGGATAGACATTTTACAAAATTAATGCGTTTACCTGTGAGCGGAAAAAAATAAACATATATATTGTATTATAAAAAAAAAAAAAATCACGAATAATCGATTTATTTTATTTTTAAGTTTTAACGTATTATATCGCATTGAACGGAATGAGTGTTAATCCCTCCTTTTAAGAATTTCGGGTGTTGTTCTTATTTCATGGAATAGGATATTCTGGATATTTGGTCTGTTGGAACGTGCGGTCACTTTTAAGGAGAGTGAGTGGCCAATATACGAAATTTTCTGGAGGACCTCTGGTTCGGTCAATATTATTTATTGATAAATTGGAGTTTTGTAATTTGTAGATAATTTGTGATAAACTACAGTATCATATTTATGAATTTATCACGGGCATGGAAGCAGGGGATAACTATAATTGACCAAAGAAATAACCGAAGACTGCTTTTCCTCCTACCCCCCCCCACCCAAAAAACCCCCAAACAGCCATATAATCAATACAAACTCCATAAAATAAGAATCCGATAAAAAAAATCATTTGAGGTTCATAATATTGTAATAATTACAGATAATATAATAACATGATGTAACTGTGCAACTAGTCTGCATAACGCAAAATCTAATTTCGTCCGGTAGTATTTTAATGTCTCGATGACACGACGATAACAAATTTAAACGAATAGTGGAAAGAAAAACCATAAATAATAATTGCCAAACATACAACTGGAAAAAATACTATCACTTACAAACCGTATACTATAGTAAGTATAGTTTATACCTTTGTAATTAATTACATAACCACGGCTCGTATCCCCCACTGATTACCCTTGTTGCCCCCCTCCCCCACTTAGCCCGTAAATATATACAACACTGGGGATGACAGTTTAACGATTGCTTCGTGGTAATTCCGGTTATTCTACGTCGAGAACTCGAGTTTCTGATGTAAATCCAGATTGCGCTCGGAATCAATAATAATAATAATAATAATAATATAACCGTTTAAAATAACAATAATTAGGTTACGCATTGTTATTATTATAGTAAAATATAATAGCTAGCCAATAGCCAATATTACTGCACCGTATATATATAAATACGGTATACATAATTTATTACGCGAGCATCGGAACAATTTTCATTTCCCGCACGAGACATTTAACAGACGATAGATTATTATTATTATTATTGTTTTTTTTTTTTTTTTTTTTTTTTTTTTTCTAACGCAGTATAAACAGTTTTATATCGGAGTGTATATAAATTGACGTTGGACCAGTGTATACTGCACACTGGCTATTATGCTCGTATAAATTACAACGACTATATAATATAATATATTATACCGTTATGTATATACATACACGAGTACGTCAAGTACGTGTAACGTACCGAATTAAAGTATAAGTAATTACTTACTGGGAATTTATTGATAACGGGCGGTAACGGTAACTATAATTTCGACCGGAGCGTATAATTTATCGTTGTAAATCATTCCGAGCTGTTGGAAAACATTGATCTGAAAACGTGGGTTCCGGTCGTGTTGCGATATCATCTGTTTCGACCGGAACAGTCTTCGCGCCGCGCGGGATATTGTCGTCATTAACAAAACCCTGGTGCGAGATTTCGCCCCTCATAATAATATTACACAAACACGCGCATACCTTGGATCATATTGTATTACAATATATACAGAGTGATTCGTGTATATATTATAATCGCGGACCGGCGATAATCTATACGAAAACGTTGGATTTTGATTTGCTGCTACAGTCATAATCGATGCAATCATTATGGAATCGTTTAACGAGTATAATACATATAGTGTAAAGAGTATAATATTCGTATAAATTGCCTAATATTATCCGTATGCGTATTTAATACTTTTTTTTTTTTTTTACAGACACCTAGTCTGTAATAATTGTTCGGCTCAAACGACTGTTATAGACGGCGGTAAATATATTCGTATAATAATAATAATAATAATAAAAGTTTAGAAAAATATTCTCTTTTCGTATATGAAAAGAAAAAAAATATATATATTATATATTATATAACGCGAGATGCTATTTGAAAACCAATGTCGATAACATTATAGTACAATATTATGTATAGGTATACATACGGAATAATGGTGAAATATTGAAAATATTGTAAAAACACGATCGTTAGATAGATTATATCGCTGCGGGTTCGTTTGATAAAAGAATCACCCTGTGTATATATTATAACTTATGCGTACATATTTACACGCACGTGCACAAACACACACACACACACACACATGCGCACACGTAAAGTGCATTGTGTATACAGTAAAGTTCTCCCAACGGTTCACTATTATAACACACGCATTATGTTGCCGTTGGCTTTTGTAAAGATCGCGTCAAAAAGAGATTAATACGAGGTAACAACAATATTTCTATCGCCGTCACTCGAAAATCAGACCCGGGCAACCAAATACGAGATAATGATATTATAATCGATTTCCAGCGGTTAAAAATCTTTCCGATCGAATTATAATCTATATCTGCGCCTCCGTTAGACACATATAGGGTATCTGCAGTACAAAATGTTACACTAACTATGTAATGCAACTTAGTCGTACTAGTTATAATTTATAATAAGAATATACTTTTAGATTATTATGAGTATGCACAGGCATGATAATATGGTAATAAAGGCGTATAAACGGTTTTCAAAAAGAGGGGGATCAAAGGAACGGCACTGGTTCGGTAATATTAAACTATTAGTTTTCCTGTTATCACACGTTGTTGATTGAATTGGTTATTATTATTAAGTTCAATCGACCGGTTAGTAATTTTAAGACACCGGCGATGCGGGATGATACAGTATCAGTTCCCGCTAGACGTTAATGAGTCTGTATCTGCTCCGTGTCGTTACTCCTTGCGGGAGTTAAGTGGCCGTATTGCGTCCCGTAACGATAGCGAATTTTGGTAGCTAGTTAATCGAATATTTTATCAGGTGGATGCAGATTTCACTTAGCCTAATCATGGTGTAGGAAAATTCAAGTACTTGATTTGTCACCCAGTAGTGGATTTTCAACATTTTTCTGGAAGGGGACCTGAAAAATCAGGTATCTTTTTTGAACGACATTTTATTGAAATTATATCAGTGTCTGAGTGGGAGGTATATACTCTCTGGAGTCATCTTCCTCGTAAATCCGCCACCGTTGTCACCAACATCCATAGACAAAATATCAGAAATCGGAAATATTTTAAAAATGTTTTTTTACCATTGCTTCTACCTGATCAGGTTGTGAGTTGTTATGTATAGAAGACTTGTTCGCTCTAAAAACGGAGAGTAACAAGCAACTCACTTAATTGTTTGATTACATTTGTACCAATTACTTAGATGACTCACACTTCCCCCGGAAATATGGGCTGATATGTCCAGTACAGGCGATCGCACCACGAACTGTTGCGAATTTTTCCACATAAAATTTAATGCTGAGTTCACGTCTGCTCATCCTAACATTTTCAATTTAATGAACATTTCGAAGTAGATACAGACTGACACCTATATAAAGCTCCGCAGTACGAATATTAGGGAAAAACTAAAAGCCAGCAAAACATTTGTAATGTTATTCAAAAATGTATTGATCAATTTAAACAAGGACAATTTACCAGAGTAGAGTACGTAAAAAAAGTTTCTTTCAGGTTCAAACCACAAGTTTTTTAATTTTTAATTTTTTACATTTTTAAACATGCCTAGGGGAATTTTCTCTTACTGTAGCCAGTCCTCAGCTTGTAAATAGGAAGAGAAATGTTGTTGATTGGGAACTGATGCGTCCATACTACTGGCATCGGGTCAAATTCGATACGGCCACCTACAAGTGAAAGGAGGGAGCCAAAACGGACAAACGGGAGCTTGATGCGGATACTTCCGACATTAGATGCGACGCGTAAGCGAAATCTCGCGTATGTTATATTTTTTTGTCGTCTCGCAGGTAAATTTTTGTTGCTGGTAACGCGGAAATCGATCTCGGTTTTGACCAGAAATTTGGTCAGAAATAAAGGTCGTATTCGGCTCTAAAACATTATAGGTACACAATAACAATATGTTTAATATAAGTACGTTATCTGCGGCAGACGGCGACGATTGTTTTTGGACTTCGTTTGTTCTAGATAAAAACAAAAACAAAACCGCCCACGGTAACTTTTGACTTTTCGTAAAAACGGCATTTTATAAAATATAATTATACTTCCAGGGCCGCAGTAACGATCTTATAATATAATATTATTACGCAATATTACCTGCGGGTGTAATTTGCTCGAAACGATCGTCGCGGTCGTCGTCGTCGTGGCAAATCGCGTGTTTGCGGGCGGGGGCGTGATCTTAAAAAAAAAAAAATCTACAGCTATAATACCTACACATAGGTACGTTCCCTCATCGACGGCACACCGCCGTACACATTATTCAGATTTTTAAAATAATACGCTTTCAAATCTATAGGTATAAATTATACCTACGTCATCGGCCAAAGGTAGAGTTTAATTTTTTCAAATAACGTTTTATACATTTTCGATTTTCGAATATTACCATGTGGTATCGTGACAATAGAAATTGTTTATCCGTTCAAACAAAAGAGAGGAATCGTTGACCGTATTGCGTGAGGCGGGATTTTAACATTTTCAATTTCGGATTTCAAATCGTCCGAAAACTAACTATAATAGTGTAGTGGTTTGATGGGGGAAATTTCAACACTTCATTAGTCACCCCCCCCTCTTTCTACCGAAACTTTTTTACTATACGATGTAATTTCTCTCGCTGGATATTATACTTTTTTTATCGAAAGCTTATTATAGTATGTACAATACGATAATAATAATATACAAAAGTTATATTTGTACTAGATGAGAATATGTTATAAAACATATATTTAAAGAACACTCGAGAAATTGAAGTACTACGAAGATTGACGAGTATATATGGTAATATAAAATTATAATATCTCATAACGACGATTTGCTGTTATTATTATTCCATTGAAAATCGTATATAGAAATCGTTGTATACAATATGACAGACGGAAAAAATCCTGTTTTAAATTCTGAGTGGAGCGACGAGTGTATTGATTTTACTATGATTATGTGCATGCGTTATTCTTAGATTCTGAGCGAATGTATTGGTTTTATTATGGTATTTGTATAGTGGATACTTTTATGTATCTTGTACCTGTGTACAACTTTTCGATCAGAAATCTTGCTCCAATAAAAAACCGAAAAAAGCGATTTGTATAGCATTTTGAATTTAATTGGTGAATTGGAAATTCCATTTTTCGATTTTCTAATTATTTTCATAATAAATTGGAATAGCCGGAATAAACACGTATAAAAAAAGGGACAAATTTACAGTATTAGAAGTTGTAGTATTTCTTTTTCTGATATTTTTATTTTATTTTTCAACCAAAATTTCTTGATTCGAATTTCAAAAACAACATATTTTTCAGAAACAAAAAACATTTCCTAAACGGTGCGTAAGAATTCCATTTTTTTAATTTCTAAGTACATAGTTTTCAGATTAATTGGGGAAAACACGGAAAAAAACGTAAAAGAAAATCGGTTAAATTTACGGCGTTAAAACAATTAAATTATTTTAATTTATTTCGATTTTTGTTTTCATCCAGAAATCTTTAATAATGAAATTCTGAAGTACAGCGTTTATTCTAAAAGAACATTTTTTCTAGATAATGTGTAAAAAAAAGTCTTATTGTTTTAAAAACAAAATTCCCATTACATTTTTTTTTTTTTTTTTTTTGTACTTTTGATACTTTTGAGAGGTGAATATTTAAACATATTTACTATATTATAATAATATAATACACTAATTAGTAGTATAATTGCTTATAATGTTGTCTTATTTAATAATTCAGATACACGCGTACATTTTGTATAATGACTATAAAACCACATTTATTTCGTGAAAAAAGCAAACAACAATAATTATACATTAAGAAATTTACTTTAAAAGTTTATACATAATAGAAGGATTGCATACATATAATATTATGCTTATCTTTTGTTTCAAGTAAAATATATATTAAACTACTATACGAAATACTATTAATATAGTATTGATTTATAAAAAGTTTTTCGACGAACAGCCATTATATTATTATACAACAAATTATTTTTATACGTATATATATATGTATGTATACTATATACATTACACATATACTTAAACTTAAAAAAAAGAAAGAAAATAGCTTATACTACTGATGGTCGTGCCACTGTTGTAAGCGCAGAGAAGTTCGGAAGGTAGGATACAATAAATAAAGTTATTTAATTTATATTTGTACGCGAAGATAAATTATTACTGACGAAATACAATTCTGAGCGAAGTTCGGTTAAGCCGGTTTTTAAAATATCCCTTTATTTTTATGATTTTTATCAAAATTTGAACTTTAAACGCGTATAAAATAAACTACTACTTTACTTTTTTTTTAACCAGTAATAGTAGGTATTAATGAGTAAATTTGTTAAATATTTCTGGTTAACCAACACAATTTTAAAAATAAAATTTTAATAAAAATACATTTTTAAATAAAATCGGGAGAAATGAAATTATAATGCCGTGAACTTATTGGTTTTCCTACGTTTTCTCTGAATTATTAAGGTAACCACATGGAAAATCGAATAACGATTTTATGTACCGATTGGACTAAATAAAAATAAAATCGTAAATTATTAAACTTTAATTGCCTTAAATTTGTCGGTTTTCTAAATCCAACGTGAATATTGTGTTACTTAAATAATATATGAGTTACGAATTTCGTTTTCTAAATATTATCATTATAAACTGTCCACAACCATTAGTTCAAATAATTAAATAACAAACGTTTTAGAACCGTAGTCTTATCCTATAAAACAAAAATGCTTTTATTTAGTTAAAACCGATATTTGCATTGCTTTCACATGGAAATTGACCGATGTAATATCCATTATATTATTTTATATTAAGATAAAATAATCGTTTTTTTTTTTTTAAAGTTTTGAAAGTTTTTAAGTATAAATAGATTATCAGGAAAATAGACAGCGAGATATTTCATTGTGATAGAATAGTAAATCATGTCGTCTTCAATTTGGTGAAATAATTTTGTTGGAAGCTTCAAATAAGTACACGCACCGTATATAGTAATTACCTATATTGTAGGTATATTATTATCAATATCTGTGAATACGCTACAAATATTCAAAGAACGTCATCGATATGCAACTCTTATTACTGCACAAATAATCATCAAGGATCGTAAAAGTGTGTTACTCCATTGAAAATTCTGTTTCTCTCGCATATAACATTATGCAGTCGATATCAAATTGTACACGCGCTATTCACAAAATGAGTGTATAACTATAAGTCGATGATAATCCAATGTGTGTTACCACGATGAAAATAAGAAAATTTCACGCAAAACTACTAATAATAATTATTGTTAGACCAATAGTACAATGCTGTATTGGGTGGTTTTAAGTAATTTGTATTATCTTATTTACACATTGGATGTGCACATACACTAGAATAATAAAATCCCAATGCTCTCGTAGTTGATATTTGAAAATCCAGTTATATATGAAATATGCGTCATAAGCTATTAATTTGTACATATTTAAGTTATTCTAACGTTGCAAAATGTTGTGAACTGTTAAGTGCAATATTGCGAAAAATAAACCGGCTGTTCTGAAAGACACGATTTGCGTTAAGCGCCTTGTTAGGGGAAAGTACACATAATTCGTGTTTTGTATGTATAATAATTATAATATGTTTGTAAAATAACTCGCGTCTTTTAGTGTTTTCAAAATCAATAAAACTCCAATGCGTATCTCGGGGACGCCCATAAAATATTTACAAACGTGAAACGAATTCCGTAAATTACTCGCCATATAATAGGTAAAATAAAAATAAAAGTGGTTCAAAATAAGGGACGGGTCAGTATAATTTTGCAGTTTATATGCATTATAATAAAATAATTATATATCTCCGTGAAAATATAAAAAATATACAAACAATTATCATAAAAATTATAATATTTTTGATTCTCTGGGTATTGTTATGTAAAAATTGAATACATTTATCTATCTAAACCTAACGTATTTTCTAAATCCTTGTTATAATCGTAATATTTTTCTATCAAATTAAGTAGTTAAGTAATCATTTGGAAATCAAACTTCAAAAGTTCTTAAAAAAAAAATACAGATTAATATACATAAAAAAAAAAAAGATTCTTTGGAAAAAACAAAACAAATCTCAAATACACAGGTATCAATTTAATACATTTTCTTTTTCTATAGTCTTCGATCTTTCAAATTAACTGGCAGCAGATTTCCATGTTTCTCTGTCAAAACTCAAATCCTTTAACCCCCAATAACTATTTAATTTCATTATCATAAATACCTTAAAAATGCGTGGTGTAAACTTTGTATACCACAAATATCCTATTACACTAACACATGAAATACATTTTGTTCTGTTTAATATTTTTAAGATTTTTTTTTCTAGTCATAATTACTACAGCCTCGTAAGGCTGCGATTCCTCTATTTCAGATTTGTATACTTTTTTTTAAATATAAAGATAAAAAATTATATCCATAAAATCCAAGATATATTTTATAAATATATATTGAAACGAAATTATGATTTTTACAAATATTTATTAAAAATGTAATCATTATGCTTGTACAATTTTGTGTAATTTATAAAAATCGTTAATGCAATTTTTTTCCGTAAGCAAATAGTAGATAAATAGATTGATATTATTTAGTAGTGGTAATAAATACTATTTAAATTGTCGTAAGTTTCAAAATTGTAGAAAGTTAACGATTCATCATCAATCAATATTTGTTCCGCTAACATTTTGTTTCAAAATATATTTTATAGAATTGCTATCTTGGATTCTGTAAAAACAATTTCTTTTTTTAACAAATTGTGCATATTGTTAGTTTTTTAAAAATAATATACAATTTAAATACAGGAATAATCATAGCGCAAAATTCTAGTAATTATTTAAAAAAAAAAAAAAAAAAATTATTGAACAAAACACTAGTTGTTCATGTATCAGATCTTTGTGTTACAGCCTGTAAAATTCATATTTGGACTTTCCCTTCCAATTTTGCCTTTTTTACATAACCAGCGATAATCAAATCGAATAAACGATCATACGATATAGTATTGTGTCCTGTGCAGTATCGTTTTTATTATTCATAATTGATCGTTTTTTTCCTTTTTAACACTTTATTTTTGTTATTCTGTCACACCACGAAATCCATAGGTTAATAGATAGGTACTATATATGAATAGCAAAAAAATATTTGAGAATTATAATTCATTCAAAAATGACATAATATTATTATTTTTTGTGATGGATGCATTTTGTCGGTGAAAAATAACCGGATGGACGGAAAACCGTAAACTAATATTCGTGATGGTGAGTCGGTGAGATGACATGTAGGTATTATATATTATCACTGGGTACTTACTCCTCCAAGTTCGATTACCGATTGTAAAATATGTATAACGCATACAAAATATTTTATAATACTCAAAGTGTGACGGTAGGAAACGATGGCGAAATCAAATTTACTCGGAATGTTCGTAAAAATATTATAAGAATGATGTCTTTATAGTATTGCACTTTTAGAATAATGTCCGATACGAGCCCACATAGCGTTGCTTATTGGTTTGTTCGTTACTCTGTGTCGAGCGGCTGTTTCTAACAGGGGACGTGTTGAACGTGTATATGTGGAGTTTACTAGAATTTAATTTAGAGTTTAAAATCAAAAATATTATGGGCCGGTTTCTGTTAAGGTCTGTTTGCCATAATCCGGAAATTTTTCGTAGGGAGTATTATTTGTATGCTTTGTATTCGAGTGTGGATTTGTCGAGTTCTTCGCCGATGACGGAAAGTTGGCAACTAATGTTGATTGAGCGATTGTTAACGTTGAACCAGTCGTTAACTGCGGTTTGACGGTGGTTAAGTGGCCGAAATATCGAACGCCCGTGCTTTACGTCTCGCGTAGAGTATTATTCGGCGGATGTATGTATTGGAAATTACTGGATTTTCACGTACAGCGGAGATACGACACTCGGTGGTGACGTGTTTTGTATTATCGTAATTCTACGTTACAGCAGGAGTACAATAATTATTCTGCGGTTCGTCGTTACTGCAGTTATTATCGATTGTTGTTGTTGTTATTAGTGTCGAACTAATCGTCTCGCGTCGGCTGGGTTCTCGTCGAGCTGATGCGTACCTACTGCTGCAAGGAGGAAACCGGAAAACCCGAACGCGCGCGCGGGAGAGCCACTCGAAATAATTAATACGCCCCTTTTGTTAGGTATAAACATTTCAAACGGTTTTCACCGCGGGAATTTCGACGGGGGCACTTCACTTCGCCAGACCGTCGTTAATAATAATATTCCGTCGTTTTGAACTCGGAATACTCGTTTTCCGCGACTCGTTTAAACGAATTATGCGGGTGAGTAATATACGACGGCGGTGACGGTACGAGACTGATTACCAGCAGCGCGCGCGGCACTCGGCGACGACAATAATAATAATAATAACAATAACAATAGTGCTGCTGCAGCAGCCGCGGAGTTTTTTGAAATTCCAATTGAAAAACGAATAATAAATAAAATCCGAATAACCGGCGAATACAAATACCGCCCCAGTCTCGTGCACATGTTATAATAATAATAATTATTATTATTATATTATATTGTTGTGTTATTTTTCGCGTTCTTATCTTCTTGTAAATTAAACAAAGTAACTGTAGAGGTGGTTACCGTATTATTATAGCCGTACGCGCGCGCGTATACAAATATTAAACGACCCACATAAAAAAAAAAAATAATAATAATAATAATGATACGCGGTGTGCCGTTTAAGGGGCGAGATGTAGAGGGTACGATACCGTTTAGAACGCGTCGTCATAATTTTACGGCGACATCACTTTGTACGAATTTTGTATTTTGTATTTATTTTTTTTTTTTTCGCTTACATCGCTCTTCTGCCTATATTGTACAAAAATAATAATATTATTTCTTCTACCGCGGCAACAGTGGCCGTTTTGTTTTTATTGCCACCTTCTAATGTTATTATTGCGCACGTCCCTCTTTTCTTCGTGAAATTCGGACAACCGACCGATGCCACGGGTGCGCACGCAAAATATCCACGTCCGTTTCCACCGTATACGCGTATTACGATATTAACAGCTATCGTTATACCGCATCGAGCAAATGTCTCCATAAAATGTCGTACGACTTTGGCAAAAACTAACCCTCGAAAATTTACGAAACACAATAGTTCCAATAAACTTATGGTTTTCGATACACGCGTATTGTTACGTGTTCGGGTGTGTGTTTCACAACTGCACTCGTCGTTAAACATCTAAGCATCACGACTACGGATCGATATTTCGAATTAGCTGCTATCATAATACATTTTTATTATTTATTACACTGATTATTTATCACGAAATATTATGGGCATTTTTTTTCCCCGAGTATAACGAAGAAACTATTATTATAGCTTAACCAAAACGTGTTTCAACCCCCCCCCCAACACCACTCCGGCAAACACTTTTGGTTAGTGAAAATGCTTTGATATTTTTGGATGCCATACTATAAACGATGTGGAATATCTGCCCAGTAATACTTTATTTTTGGCATTTTGTCTAAATTCCCAACAATTTTTCTAAAAGTTAAAAAACAGACAACAAATAATCAGGTTTATTTTTGTTGATTTCTGGGTTACCTTGGTTAGAAGAGAAACGATAATACTTTATGACAATTATACAATTGCAAATTCACCGAGTTTCATATTGAATCGGTTTTTGAATGCAACGATTCTATCGTTTGCTTTAAGTATTTTATTGTAAAGTGAATTATCCTATATCAGCTTAATATTGATCTTTTTTATTTTGAAACTAGAACAGAGATGGCTTACTCATGGTGCAAAGTATGTCCGATTTTATTTATTTTTTTTTTACTAGTAAACCTACTCGTAATTTATCTTTTCCATTTTATCAGTAGATATGTTAAAAAAACAATTGCAAGTATTTTTAAACAGTATATATATTTCACGAAAATATTATGTTAAGACAAGAACTATGCATATTCAGTGCAAATTGAAGATGTCAAAAGTTTTGTTGATTATATAGACTAGTGGTTTTCAATAAGTGGTCCAAGAATCCTTAAGAGTTCGCGGTTATGTTTGATCGGACAAAACTCGTGAGGCTTTTGTGTTCTGATGCATCAGATCTATCCAGTAGCGGATTTTTAACATTTTTCTGGGAGGGGTTCTGAAAAATCATATATATTTAAAAGGTATCTCTATTAATAGATGTTTTTTTTTTTGGACAAAATTTTATTTAAATCTTATCAGTGTCTGGAGAGGGGGTCCAACCCCTCTGGACATCCCCCCTCATAAATCCACCACTGGATCAATCTTATTAATTATATAGGTATATATATATATATATATTTAATCCATAAAAACTAAAATACTAGAATATGGTATCACTTATACTGTTAAATTAGTTATTATGGATACTTTTTGGTTTGCGTGTTTAAGCGTATACAAGAGATTTCCAAAAAGCATGTAAAAATAAATAAAAATAATACGTATACATATATACGAAAAAAGAGGTTCCCATAAGCTTGGGTACGAGATGTGTAGGATGTGCCGGCTGCACAAAATTCAGTTTATTTAAAATGTTTGTTTCCAATGTAAATTAAAATATTATCGCAAATAAAATTAACAATATAATATACATATTTAGATTCGGAGCGTAGCGAAGAATGTATTGGTTATTTACAGTGATGTTTATTATTATTTTTTTTTTTGTCTGTGAACAATTTTTCTATTAGAAATCTTACTCCGATTTTTAAGTCTTGCAACTTATCTGAAAGGGAATTTTATCTGAATATAACTTTAGCGGTTTTCATAATAGTTGGGAAAAACCGTAGGAAAAACAGGAAAATGTACGTACTTGTATAAAATAAACTTCGCTCCGAATCGTTTTTCGTTGGTAATAGTTTATTGTTGAGTACAGATATAAATTAAATTCCTCTTTATATTCTACCTTCCTAAGTTCTCAATGGTAAGAGAACTAAGCCTTCCTTCATTTAAAAACTATTATTACCTAAACCTATTCTGTACACACCGCAAAAAAAATCTTACGCACGCCTTTGGGGGTTCCCGGTCAAATTTAAATTTTAGCTTGAGTAGACTGTATAGTGAGGTATAACGGTCATAACGTAGTTATGTTTAATAATTCATATTATTATTATGTTAAAATAGTATTCCAGGAAACCATCAAAATGCATAAACTATGTATAGAATAAGAATACGGCACTAACTAATATTATAATTTTATACCTTTTGATGAATCTTCTAGAAAAATTACTTTTGTAAATTTAAAATATGTAGAATTACTTTGGCCCACGCACACGTACACACAAAGTACTGCACACGCACGCTTGAAGGAGAACTCACTTTTCATCATTGGCCTCCCGGGAAATACCTACTACGAATATTATCAAACTATTGCATTAAATATTTTTTTATGAATTGTAAAAAAAAAAAACGACCGACACGTACGTTTTTATTCTTGTTATACCTACTAGCTGTCATCGCTCGGAGTTGCCTGTAGGGGTTAGACTAGTTAAGGTTATCAAACTAAAACTAGAAATCAATAAAAAAAAAAATTCAATTTTACGTTATGTGTGTCTGCAAGTTTGTAGGTTGAAATAATTTCAATCGTATACGTATTATCCACGATGACCGAATTAAACATCTACTTCAGTATACCTTGTCGTTGTAAACGTTTTCTTTTTTTATAATTATTCCTTTTTTTCCCCTGCGTAACCAAGGAAACCAGAATTCGATAAAAAATGTCTGAAATTCAAGTATGAAATAAACACCGCTGATACTTTGAGTTCTTTGACGGACCCGTCTGTCAGTCAATTTAACGTAATCAACAAAAATAATTTGCATCATCAGTACGATAATCGAGTTTAACACTCTTAGCCCTGGGTACCTATGTTAACGGACGAACTCTGTAAGTTTTCAAGATGAAACGATTTCCGCGTTCCTGGTGAGTGAAGGGCCAAATAACGCAAGATAACTGCCACGTATATAGTAGTCCCTAGCGACTTGTTTTCGCCACTTTTGAGTGTGAAAAGAGAAAAATAAAAAGAGAGAAAAAAAAGTAACAAGTGTAACAAGACGGTGGATATGTTTGTTGCATAATAGGTATAATATATTTAGCGAGTATGGCTGACACTTACTTTTAAATCTCGAGTCGTATACTCGTATATACATATATATGTGTGTACCAAGCGCTAAACACACTGGAAATTGTCACGAGGACGTCAAATGCTTTTAGCAAGCTCGCGATATACCACTAGGTGAACGCGCGCTGTCACATGGCCCTTTATTTCCTCACAAGTATACAGCTGTAACCACGTGTCGTGCACACGCAGTGCAATTATTTTCCTTTTCGTAGTCGAGCCCACTTCACCCGTGCTTAAATAACAGTGTAATATAAAAGGAAGTCTATGTAAAATACTGAAATTTATAAAGCCCAAAAGCTATTGTAGCTAGGGTTCGGTACAAGACCTCGAATTCGGATTTTTAAATTTCAATATTTCTCTAAGGAATTAGAATACTTAATTGAAATTTAAATTGTTTTTTTTATTTCTGATTACATGATTAAATAAACGTTTACATATTCAAAGTTTTTATTTAATTTAGTTGTTACGCGATCAATGCCATCGGGAAGTAATAATTCTTTGAAATTAATTCCACGAAACTTGGTAGGCGTATTATGAAATATGACGCGGAAAACAATACTGGAGAGTGAAAATAAATTTTAAAAAAAATCTTGTTGATTTCGGTCGGACAACGCTTGTACACAACTTATTACTTAGTATAATAAATAATGAAATATAGTCTCATCTATACTAACCGTTTTCGTAACTGTAGCTAGGTTACGGATTAGAGTTTTGATATATGTGCAGTACATAGATACATAAATAAAATAACTAGATGCCAACTGCGCTTATTTTATCATACGTATGATAAAATCCCATAAGAGGTATCTATATAATTAGCATCCACAATATAGTAAGGTGGTGATTTCGTACACTAAAAGAAATATGAAAAAAAAAATGAATCACTATAAAAATTAAAAGTTTCCAATTAGGGTGCCAAACTACTAATAATCTATATGTACTTAATGAAGACAACAGCGTTACTCTTATGTTTTTCAGTAGGAGATTACGCCAAGACTTGTATGTATGAGACCCTCTCGTATAAACATGTCAACGTTGCACTCAAATAGATCTGATGCCTAATTACGGGCTGAAAAAAACACACCTCTTGACCAGCTCTAAATTCTTTCATAAATAGTCCTTCTACCAATCAAAAGATAAGCTAACTAATGTATAGGCTCATAAATATTGAAATTATGCTTGGAATCAAGGAAAGGCTTTGTAAACAATATACGAACAGTTATTTAGATGCGATTCAGAATAATATGAGGACACTCAATGACATCTAGTGAATGCGAGGTGGAAGATCGGGACAAGTAAAAGTTGATTATGGAGATAACCGGCCTCAAATAGATGGGATGAAGACGAAGGAAAAGAAGAAGATAATGTCAAAGACAAAGTCCACTAGGTGACCGACAATTAACATTGGCAAGATTGATCAACATACTGCAATAAGAAAACTTTAACTGGACAATATCTGAATTCCTCCCTCCAGGCTTCAGAATATAGCGAAACTTAACCAGTTCGGAAACTCTTACTATAACAAGAACAGGTTTGGATTTTACTAAATATAACTTGGAAAAATGGCGTCTACGCACAACCTTGGTTACACAATGCAAATGCGGAATTGAACGGAAAATGAAAGACACAACGATACTGCCCGTCAATGTGCCTTTTTGCGTGCGCAGAGGAAGTTATTCAATTAGTTATACTAGAGATGCAGTTAACGTAATATTTCACGGGATGTCGATAAAACGCGTGCTCTTATATTAGGTAGTATGTAGTTGCCAAACATCGGATTTACTCGTAGCGTCGGCCGTTTAGTTGTTTTGTTTAGGTACGAGTTTACGCGGTGCAGCGGAAATAAAAATAACAATATAAACTCCCGTGACCTTTTCTCGCGGGCCAAAGATACCTATATAGAATTTTGGGCAATTGACCGCATCGCAGCCGTTGTGTGTAACCTTTGCACAAAGCCAATGTTTTATTATTCTGTCACGCCGCATATATGCGCATACACACAGTGCTCGGTACCTACATGACGCATATAATATTATACACTTATTGCAACCACATACACACACGAACAAACCGCGGTATTAGGTCGACTTATATTTTATATATACATACATGTAACACGGTCGCGCGACCGAAATCCATTATCTAAATTGACGTGGACGCTTTACAGGGCTGCCCGTCGCGGCTGCAGTTTGTACGCGCGGATAACGTCGGGTACCTCCTATATTATTATGCCTATATATTTATTATGCTTGATGTTTCGTTATTGCGGTTATTGTATTATTATTAAATTACACGAGTACTATTGCGGTCAGTGTGCCGAAAACAACGCGCTAGAGAAAAACTCGGGCAAAAGCTGCCCGCGAACATCCCTGCAAATCGAGATTATTATCATTATGTTCGGCCGAAAACAAACGACAGCGGTAGGATTTTCGACGCAATATTATCATTATCTCCACCGTCATCGGCCTCGTCGTTTTCCGGGATAATTTTTTATAATTTTCTTCGTCGGGGGATGATTTTTTTCTTTTTATCTTATCGTCATTATTATTATTTTATTTCCGGCAGTAGGATGTGCTGGTGATTTATACCCTGCGAAAGTTGTAGCGGTCGTTGCAGCCATCACTCCGTGAGTACCTAATACGCTCCAATGCGATAGGCTGACAAGTTAGATTAAGTTAATCCATCAACATTTTTGAACGCTGAAGGAAACAAAAAAATATATACATACATACATATATATATATATATGTATAACAAAATAATAATACCACAGTTTTAACAATAGTAATTAAGCGAAATAGGAAACGATGTCATAATAACATTATCTTCATTATTTTTAGCCGTTTTTCGTTTGATTTTCGTGAAAAAAAATACATATTTGGGTAATATAATAATAAAAAAAAAATAAGTCCGCGCATAATAAATGTAAAAAATTGATGCCGAGAAAGCGGATTGATCGATCGATCAAAATTATGGCGTTCAAAAACAACTCTACAGCGCCGTCCGCTACAAAAGCACGAAAACCAAAGTTTATCTCAAAAAATGATCCTTTGAATAATGGGCGTGTTTAGGTAACAAAGTTTTCGAAAATGACTTTATTTTTACATCATTATTTCCCAAAATACAGTGGGAGCGTAGGTAGCATGCATTTAATAAAATAAAATATATATACGTATACATACATATTACGATCTAATATAAGATATCTACATATAATGCACCTACATATAAACCCCTATTCATTTTTTTAAAATGTCACAAACTTCAGGAACTCAATACGTTTAATATTATTGTTAAATATACATTAATATATCTTCTTAATGATTTAAAGATTAAACGTTGCTTTATAATAATTTTGGTTCCAAAGATAAGGGCTTAAGTCATTGTCATAAAACTTAATGGGACAAATTACGGAATTATGGAAAATAAGGATATATTAGGGGTGAAAAAATGCATAAGAAAATTATTTCAATTAATGCAACGAATTAAATTACAAACTAAATTACAACAAAAAAAACAAAGTAGAACATAATACAAGTATTGTTTTTTTAAATTTTTCTGTTCGATCGTCGTTTTTTTTCAATTATTTAAAAACAACAGGAAAACTCAAAAAACTACTTTCTTCTTCATTTCTCACCGACTTGATTAAAAATTCAATAGAAAAGGTTTCTTGTTGTTTTTCTATTGGAGAAATATGAAAACACGCGTAAAATTTAAAATATTGAAATCGTACGTTTCGTACATTTGTTCGTTTTTTATTTTTCATTATTTTCCGGTTTTTCCCGATTATTAAATAAACTACATAGAAAATCAAAAAACGACTAACTTCGTGAGCAACTAGATTTAAAATGCAAAACAAAAGGTTTCATGGCATTTGTGTGATTAAATCAATATTTTTGGGAGAAAAGATAGCTCGCAAAATTAAAAACAATGAAATCGGAACATTGCACCGTAGATATTTTACCTGCAATATTTTTTCCAATTATTTGGAAAAATCAAAACATGGCTTTCATAATGCACCAACTAAATAAAATTTATTTACAAAAAAGGATCTACACTTGATACTTTGGAACGAGTTTTCTATTTGAAAAGTTTTTTACAGACAGGAAAAAAAACACACATCGTAGTAAAACCAATAAATTCCTCGATATACGCTTCGAATCTAGAAATTATAGATACTATAATGCGTACTATAAACGTGAAATGTACAACGCTGCAATGTATAATATACATGTATACTTATAATAAATTAATGATGAGAACGAATCTCCAAACACGACAAACTCGGATAAATAACGTATAATAATGTATATAATATTTTATAAAATAAATAGAAAATGGAACGTTTAAACAAATTTTCTGGACACGCGTATAAATATCTCGCATACTAGTATAAACTAAACGGACAGGGTAAAAAATATATGAAGTTATTAAATAAAATAAATACCATGTAGCGTCGGTTTGACAACATTTTTAGCGAGGCTAGTGGGACCTGTAGGGGAACGAAAAGAGGCAATTTATAACATCCCTTGTTCCTTTTATATCTATAACAGCCGGTGTACTGTACACATTAAAAAGATAAATGGTGTTGGAAAAAATAATATGACGTATTATTAAACACGTATAGTTGCTAGGTATTTGTGCTTACTATTCTTAGGACATATAATGACATATTATCTACATTGCAGATAATATACAAAACAACTAGATAGCTATGAGATATCTATGAGTAAATCTCTGAAACTTTGCATTTTGGCGGCCATATACCAAATTTTATTGATTGACACTTTGTTTATGCCATGAATCATGTGACAATATGAAAACATATTTGAAATTAATCATAGATTGTTTCTATGACATTGAGATTGCATGTATTATATAACAGACTTACAATTTTTATTTTATTTTGCATCATTTTTGTGATAACTATAATTCTCAATATTAATTTAGGCGATTTACTATTTGTACTTTTAATGTTTACGATTTTCGTCAAAATGTTTATAAAAAATTTAAAAAAACTAAATATTATACTCATTTATTTTTTTTTTTTTACCACTTATTACGTTTTATAATGAACCCCCACTAAAACTTTCAAGTATTTCTGTTTAGCCTAACGATTTTCAATAATTGCCCAAAAAAAATTACGTAGGTACAAAATAAAATGCCTATAAAAAACTCAAAAATGGAAAAATAACTCAAGTGTTCAAAACTTACTCAAATGTTTTAAATAATTTTTCACGTCTAGAAAAATCAAATATATTTTATGTTAAAGCTTCATGTAAGTACCAATATTTTTAACTGAATATGTTCATACATTTTCCTGTTATTTCTACTTATTTATCGATTTTGCACAATTATTAAAAAAAAATAAAAACAAAAATTATTTTTTTGGTTACCGACTAAATTAGAAGTTTAACAAAAAAGATCTCTTTTGGTTTTATACTGGAGCAATATTTCTAGAAGAAAACGGAAAATGTAAATATTTAGAAAAATGTAATCGTAACGACATAAATTTGTCAGTTTTCATTTTGTTTTTTTTTTCCGAATTTACCTAATTATTAATAAAACTACTGATAAAATTAAAAAAAGACTTTACTCTTCACCAACAACATTAAAAATGCAACAAAAAAGGAAGTTGCAACAATGAAAAACAATGAAAACGGTTAGTCGGTAACGCCGTGGCGTGCCGTAAATCTTTGCCGTTTCACTTATAATTTTCTTTCGGGTTTTTCCTAATAATTTAGAAACCGCTTCGAAAATCAAAAAATTACTCTTATTGCATCAACTAAAGAAAATACCTCCCAGAAAAAATGGCATTTCGGAGCATGATATTTGGCAAAGAAATTGTTTACAGACAGAAAAACACACATGCACAGTAAAACCAAAAGATCGCTCGCTACACTCCAAATCTTATCCTGAAAATAGCATCTAAATAGATTATAGTTCAGTCGAAATATTCTTAGCAGTTGTATCAGATTTATTTTAAACATCTTTAATTTACCAGTAATTATCGGCAGTCCGCTAATATTATAATATTTTTTACCGCTGTTTATGTATTCTGATTTTTAGTCGTGAGTAAACACGAAAATGTTTGGTTGGGTTGTTATACGAGTGTAGAAACAATTTACTATTATAGTTATTAGTTAAACAAGTAAAACTTAAGAATATTTTAATGTTTGTATTAAGCTAGATTTAAAGACAAATAATGATATTATACTGCTCTATATCAAATAATAATAATAATATTGTAAATTTTGAATTAAACGTATTTAACAAATCGAAAAAAGTAAATAAAAAATATGCAGAATACGAGTACAAAAAACATTTAGATTTTATGATGACCTTAGGTTTTACAAAAAAAAAAAAATAATAATAAATAGTATAGATGCCAAGGCAGAGCGCGATTCACAAGTATAGGTATAGTTGGTAGGTATATTTAATATAGGTTCTATATTTCCATTTTGTTTTGTTGAATTTAAAATACAGAAGGCGAAATCGCGATAGAATCTATAATTTGACAGAAAGAAAACTCTTAAAACCGAAGCCAAGAAGAAGAAAAAGAAGCGTCATTTGGATGCGAGATAATTTAAAAAAAATATATGTATATTGACCTACAATAGTTGCATCGTTATCCGATATTAAAGACAGTTGTTGTTATCCAATATTTAACAAACTGTTATTACGATGCGGTAAAATAATAACATAAATAAAGTAAATAAATATAGTGAATAAATATGTAAATATAAATAAAATAAATATAAAAAGTGTATATATAAAAGTAAAATAAATAAATGAATCAATGCGTCGCCTGGAGTATTATGATAACTGTACAATATTTATTTTTATTTTTATATATACGTTTTTTATTTATATATTTATTTACTATATGTATTTACTTTATTTATTTACGAGTATTAACCATTTTAATGATTTTGTTTTTACTTTAGTCTTTTATTATTTATTAACATAAATTATGCACAATAAACGCGTCACCTATATTGTAATGAATTGCGGGAAATTGTACTTTTTTTTTCCGTCGTATGAACGCAATACTTGTTACAATGTTTTACTGGATTTTTAACCGGGTTGGTCAGAGAGTTATTACATTATGTTTAATGCATATAGACGTTAAATAATATACTCGGTTCCATCGTGGGGCGTTTCATTCGGGTGAACTGGTAACAAAAAATATCATATAGTTTGTTGGCAAAATTTAAAAAATCATTTGGGTGAATAATTCGATCGTTATACAGACACTTATTTTTTTTTCGCAATTTACTATTTATAGGAGGAGTCATAATGTTAACAATTACTACTCGACAAGTTCCCACATGCACTGTGTATTCACAAACTATTCTGTATCAAACGCATGCTTCTCTCGAAAGTTATGTATTTAAACGAATTGTAGATTTAGACTAATTAAATGTGTGTATTAATATAACAATGAAAATATAATATTACATTATGATTATAACAATTGTCATAACTAAAACAATTAAATTAAAATATTGTACAAGTAGATGAGAGGTCGTAAAAAGTCTTAAAAAATTTATCAGTATTATAATTAGCTTTGAGTTGAGTGAAGCGATGTAATTGCAGTGACTGAGATTGTTTGCAGGGAGTTAAAATTTAATTGTTCGGAATTCTTTTGGAACCGATCGTCGCTTAGAGATATTTTGGATGTGGCCATGTATAGGAAGCTAATTAATATAGAAATTGTAATTATTCGTATTGGAAGTCATGATTCGTGAACGTGTGCGCATATCATTTCGTTGACGTCCCATACCTATTATATATTATATTATAATATTAAAAGGGTTTTGCGTTGTCAGGGCGGTAATTATTTATCAAGCGATATTGATCAAATTATAACACAGTAGATGGATTTATTCACCGCGTAATTATTATGTCCTGCGACACAGTAAGTACCGTATTATATACGACGGATATTCTACATGTATATTATAGTATTATACGTATAGAATTTTCCTCCGCCACAGTTCCCATTACCCACCTGCTCTTAAAACTGTGGTTTCCCAATGTATTCTGATATTGGATTATGTATTATCAATCTTCCGTATTATATAATTATCAAAGTAATTTATAACGGATAATCTCGAGAACCACAAAACGGTTTTCACTGTTGTGATCTGTGATCCTCGGAGAAGGTTTATGGAACTTTTTGTCATGAAATTCTATCCCAAAAAGGTAATTTAAAAATTGAAGAAAAAAAAGTGGTTTTTACATACACTTCATATTTTAGTTTTATTAATTTTGGCATTACCTACCTTAGTAACACAATTTTAAAAAAAACACTTATTATTGTTTTATTAGCAATATTGTATGTATGTATGTATATTGTATTTTTATATACGATTTTTGATATTCAGAAAAAATAAAATTTATGTAAAAGTTGTATATAATATTATGTATCTAGTTTATACATCAAACCGTTATATTTATTATCTTTATCATTTTTGGTTTTTTACTTACGTTTTTCGTTACAAAATTAATTAGAAAATTAAACAATTCATTTTACTCGGCCGCACAATCGTTCAAATATTATGACCAACACCGGTGTTCTATCTCGTGATAATATTAAAATAACAATATTATAATAATATATAACAAACGATTTTTTTATAGAACACAAGTATAATATACTGGACTCAATGACTGTAAATAATACAAAAAGAACCATATAAAATTTATTTTAAACAGCAAAAGTGCAATATTTTTTATAGTTTTAACAATAAAAAGAATTGTAGCAAAAATAATTTTTTTTAATAAAGGCAAATACAACTTTAATATTCATATCTATTAATATATGATGACATTTTTTAAATAATGCTATTTAACATAATATTTTAAACAAACAATACTTATTTGGGTACTTACAAATTATTATTAAAATATCGTTCACACATATTAGACAATTATTTATAATTTAATTGAAGTGATTTTTGTTCAAATTGTTCCCTAGTTATAGCTAGTTGTATTATGTTAATATAAGTTTGTTTATAAACGTAAAAGAGAAGTAAAAATGTATTTAAATATATATATATATATGTATATAAATATTATTGGAATGATGGTGTAAATATTGATGAAATATAACAAATTGCGTATAAAAACCGAGAAATGTCAAATATACTAAGTACAAATTTCAAAATTAGCGATATAGTATAATTTATACATTTTGATGAATATAACCGTAGTATTGAGAATGAGCTTTTTCATATACTGAATACTCACATAATATTATATTTTACAACAATGAATAAAAAAAACAAAAATGAATTTGTTAGGTACGATGAATTCATACTCCGGTTATTTTTAACAGTACAAATTGTTTTGAATGAAAAAATATATCGCGTACGATTTCATTTTGAACGTTACTCGAACACTTTTTTTGACGAATTTTGTCAGAATATAGAAACTATATTGCACTTTATATTTATTTGTGTCTGTTGACTGTTGTATGCGTACAATTATATTTTCCTACTACTTTTGAATACTTTTAACTTTTAAAATATATAATAATTTCGAATGCAGATGTATGAAGACTTATCTTTAAATTTTAACATTGTAACATTATACATTATTCAACACTCTATAATATATAGTCAGTACCTACTTAAACATCAGTAGTATAGGTTATGGTGATAAGATATGGTTAATCCACCATACTTTTTGTATTCCATGTATCTTGTTGCTTAAGTTTTAATATAATAGATCGTTATCTATGTCTTGGTTGAATTTCAATTTGAATTTTACCATTTTGTTGCGGGAGGAGCGTATAATATATAGTATTAAACACTCAAACAGATCCCCAAAATAAAACCAAAAGCAAGCAATTTTGTATATTATGTTTGACGTTGGTATTAATATTGTACCTCTGGGTTTTTCTAATTTCAACTCATGTCGGTTCTATTATTTTTGGAAGTGCTATAATATTGTAGTTTAGTATAATCGTGTAAAATATTGTATTATTACCCATAGAATTTTATTATTTATTATTTTACAAAGAATATTTCTATAATGCAAACTAGGTAAAGTAGGACAAATTCTAGTACTAGAGCTCTGAAACTTACGGATGATATTTTCTATTCAGTAGGTACTTAAGTATTGTGTTGATTTATATAACATATATATGTTATTGAAATATAGTAATTAAATTCGAGAATTTCTTAAAACATTAAATTCGATTTCCCGCATATTATTAATTATTAAATAGCAACTAGTACATGCCATATTATAGAAACGTGGATAGTTCTTAAAACTGAGAAATTAAAAAATGAAACCTTGTTTGGTGCTGGAGAAGAGAGTTTTCGAATATACAGAAATATTAATGAATGCGAAACTTCTCCGTAAGATATTTGTGCATAATTCAATACACAACGCGTTTAGGGATATTCCAATATGCACTTGAATGACGACAATAGTCGAATAAAGAAGAGACAAGCATAGAAACACCAATAAGGACATTGATCACGAAGCGAGTGAAATGGAATACACGGGAATAAATATATAATATGCAAGGCTTAAAAAGACTATAAGCGACAGGGATAGATATATAGAGAAAAACGTCAATTCAACATTCAACCAATCTCCTGTAGGTACGTTAAATTCAAAAATGCGTTAATTTTAAAGCAATAAAATATAATTATATATATACTTAGTTGATTATTATTATTTGATCGTATTCAAATTTTAAAATAATTATAATAATAAAAACCATTACCGTTCAGTTAAGCGCTGCACATTAACCACTGGAGCTTCAGCGGTAATTTAATTTTTGAATAGAAACAGTTTTCCTTAGAAAAAAAAAAAATATATATATATATATATATATAATAATAATAATAATGATAAAATAAAATAAAAAATACGTACATGACCGCTCGTGAACTCGAGACCTTCCGTAATACCTACCCAGCTAGCTATAATACACAAGAGGGAAATCCAACGATAAATATTACAGGCGTGGCAAGCGCTCGGCGGCCTGTCAACCGGCATTCAAATAGTTGCCCAAGTTCAAATACGCGCCTTTATTGCAACGCTCGGAGTACTGTTTAATATTTCAATGAGTTGAAAGGATTATATTATACCTATCTGTAATATAAAAAAAAAAAAAAATCGTTAAGGATACACATAAATAATTGCTGTACGTGTATGACGACGACGCAACGATATCGTAGTAATATATTAGACACGAAAAGAAATTTTATTTTTGAAAATTAGAAAAATATTATGTTTCGCTAAAAGTGTGTAGACATTTTGTTTGTCCAATATAAATAAAGGTATATTTACCTAATACAGATAAGATGATCGGCTCAGCCGAAAAGTGTTTTTTTCGCTTTGGTGGCGTTATACTTTGTAACCGCACTGGATATCATTTACTAGATAGCGATTAATAAATAAAGTCTAGATTATTTATCGATATTCTCTCTGTATTATATACTGTTGTTTTATATTGACATCCAATAAGGCTGATATTAAGCACATTTGCATAAAAATAATATTTGTCCTCGAAGTGTATTACTAGCGTAGCGAGCGGAAATTGTTTTAACTAGGCAAAACTAATCGAACCGTTTTGCTCAGATTAAGCATCTTTATACTTTATCTATATATTTTGTCCATTATTGTAGCGACTGACCTATAGATATAATTATATGATCAGGTATTTGAATTTATCATTATGATTACCTAATTACAGTGGCGTAGTTAGGATTTTTCAATAGAAACCACCCTCCCCCCGCCAAAGAAAGATAATTCGTCATTTCAAAAAAAAAAAAAAAAAAAAAACCATTAGTACACGACCTCCACCGAGGGAAATCCGATAGACGATAATATTGTGTAAATCTCGTTTAAAATTGAAAATACGACACGGGTATAGTATACATTTTACATTATAATATGCACGAAGTATAGGGAAAACTTTTATAATATGTTGTGTATACATATATATTATTTCCGTTTTATACTCGCAGAGCGTCATTTTAAACGGTTTTGAAATATATAATGTGCGCACGATTTAACAATAAAAGCCTGACGACAAAAGTTCTTTAATTGTCGTACATACGATTTAATTGTAATTACGATTGCGTATAGCGACAATAGCTGTGCCCGTTCTATACTTATAATGTCTTTACCAACGTACGTTTCAATCAAAAACGATATATATATATATAGCTATACGTGTATGTGTAAGTGTTTCGCGTTTTAAATATTTGTATACCATTTTCCCGCGTTTCCTCGTTATAAATTGCTTACGTAATACGAGGTGCGTTGAAAAAGTTTCCGGATTGTTTGAACTACGTGACACCGGAACGTTAAAGAATAGTACAATTGGTATCACACTGGCTTCTGCGACTTCTGCTGGACATATTTGTTTTGATTATTGAAGATTCTGTTTTAATGTAATCGATATTTTTGTAAAATATGTTTTTGGCTTTTGATAATTTTGTAATGAATCCTAAAAAAAGTTCAACTTGACGAATTTTTGGTGGAGTGGATTTTTCTTCTATTGACCGTTGTGATGACAGAAAATTGGTCGACAGAGAAATGTAACATTTCACATGACTCATACGAAACCATTGTAACTGGAAATCTGCAAATGCACCACGTGGCACTAACTTTGTCCCGAGAATGTTGAGGAAATGTCAAAAATCAAAAACAAATCATTCAAGTTCAGGTTAGTCAGGAACTTTTTGGTAATTAAATGATAAGTAAATGATAGTAAAAACGTTTTGAAATAAATTGAAGTTGATAACAATGATAACAATCATTACCAGTATCATTGCATAATTATCAAAATGCAAGATAAATTCTATCCAACCCTCTAAATAATCTCTTTAAGTTGCTCTTCTTTTGGATTCATTAAAAAATCGCAAAACGCGAGAAAATATATTTTACAAAAACATAGGTTACATTAAAGCGAAGAAGATTATAGGTAATTTACAAAGACGTATGTACACACGAGAAATCACAAAAGCTAGTGATACCAGTCCTACTACTACTACTACTACTACTACTACTACTACTACTACTACTCGACGCTCCGTCGTTGGTGCACAATTTAAACAGTCCGGGAACTTTTTGAACACATTTATTATTATAATTATGACGATAATAATATTATAGTAGCACGCGTAGTATGGATGAGACTGCATCAGAGACGTAATAAAATTAATTATGAAAATGATTTGTTTATATATATATTGTATTGTACTAATCGTAAACAGTCATAGGTATCGCATGAAAGGAAATCGCTACATAAAGTTTGATAATATAATTACTCGAATACTAATAACATTGTTTAAAATCTAGCAATGTATACGCCTGCGTTTGCTTTTAGATTCAATTATACATATATTATAGTTTACAAATAAAGTTTACTAGTAAGTGAGATATTTTCAGTTTATAATATAATATAATTATTTATGTTATTTACTGCTGCACTTGTGCGTATATATTCCCGTTGTTTCTGAAGTAAGATGAATGTATACGTGTAAACGTTGTTAAAAGGTCTGCAGAAATTTAACTTAATTAATTCACGAACTTGTATTCCAATGGTATATTATATTTTAATAACTCTTCTTGATTTCGAAAATTATTACTCTAGCGTATTATATATACCTAATGGAGTACGAAAATAACATTATAGGTATCCATTTTCGAATTCGAAACGAACAATGTATATTTCATCAAATTATAATATAATTAGCTGTATCACTTGGTTTTGTCCGTGCATCACAGTGTTGAAAGAAAAAGAAAACGTGTCTTCCAGTGGAAACAATCAATTGTAATAAAAATTAAAATAAATTTATCCCGTTTAACCAATGGACACAACAGAAATAAATAAGAAAAAAATTAAATGTTCATAATGATCGTATTTAAATGACAGATTTCATGTGCGTGTAAGCCTGCTTGAGGGGCTACAATTTCTATTCAAACCATTCTTTCAACACTGCTGGAACTCAACTCAACCATTCATTGCCTTTTATTACAGTTGTAGTTGGATTGATTTCGACAAGGGTTTAGCTATATATGTTTTATATTCACACATATTTTTAATATTAAAATATATGATAACTATCTTAAATAAATCGGCAATAAAAACGCGTAAAAACGTGTCTTACAAAAAAATAATATTTTGACATTTCGAAATGTTTATGCTTGGGATTTTTGTTTGTTTTAATTAAAGCAATTAACGATATTGTAAATTGTGTTTTATTGTTGTATACAAATATTTAGAATTTCTTTTTTTTTAAATTTAAAATTCATATTTTATATTGATTCAACGCAGTCATGAATAGTGCGTACTACGTAGTATACTAAAATATGAAAATAGGTCGACTCTGATAGCCGACTCACTGCGAGAGGAATTGCAATACATTCTTGAATTTTTCACATACATTTTATAATAACATAGCCTATAACATGCTTAAAATAATATACCTATGTATTTTAGACATATTAATATTTGTAAAATAATAATTTTAAGGTACCCATCATAATCCGATTCACTGTACCACAATAGTATTAATTATATTATAATTCGTACAGTGAAATAAATAAATACAGTTTTAATTAAAACTATAAGCCCATATTAGCGATTTAATTAAATGTATTATTTGGTTCGATTTTTATTTACCATAGATTAAGTTATATACTATTACCACACACAATAACATATCTACCCTTATTTTTTTTTTAATAAGTATCAGAAGTACCTATATATATATATATAAATACATATGTAGTTATTAAGTATATTATAATATGTACGCATCAAATATTGTATGTGCATACACAATGAGATTGATTAAAATGGGCAAATAATTGATCGTTTTCATAAAATATTTAAATTCGCTAGTTTCCACTCGTAAAATCGAAATTTCAAACTGTCTGTGAGTTTAACCGCGGGTAACCTACAGCTCATTATTTGTTTTCATACCTGTCTATTCGACAGCACTCGTTGACGGGTTATTAATTACAAAAATATTAAACGAAAACTACTCTATGCATTAATACTATCTGCCTTATATAATCGTATAACTATATAGGTAATAATTTACTCTATCGTGATTGACTGACTCGCTAACATGATATATATTAGGGTGTTTCAGAATTTTTTTTGTATATCAGATATTCTTCTTCTTGTGATATTGTACAGTGACTGCTCGTCGGATAAGGCGAGTAAGGCGTCGTATCATCGATAATTTTCTTATTACAGTAAACTATTATAGTTTATTATACGAAAATGGCACCTATCAAAATCTTAAAATTAATTTCGTTCATAATATAGTTATGGGTTAAAGACAAATTCGTATAGTTACTAATCGACTTAATATTTTTACATTTTCAAAACAATTACAAATAATTCCAAACCTAAAATCAACAAATAATGATTAATAATAACTGCAGTATCTCGTTTTCTATTTCTGATACAATAATTTTTTATATGAAATACTAAAGACGTTTGACATTTTACCGTTGAAAACGATAAAATAAAATCACTAAACGTATTCGAAATATGTGTCTGTCGTATACCTATACTCGTAGACAAAATATTAAGTATAATAATATTTTTCAGTTGGCTATTAATTTGACGGTCGATAATTCATTCACGTAAACGTCTAATTTTAGTGCATATACTTATAGGTTCGTTTAGATTTAAAAATTCGGAAGAATTATTAATTTTCAGTACATATAATACAGTCTCGGATAGTCAATACAGAAACATAAATTACGCGTTATTGTTATTTTTTTATTTAAAAATGTAACGAAATAATACGTAATGTAATTATGTTTTTTGTTACCTGCGATATTAATGTATCATCATAAGGTAAGTAATAACACTAATAGTAATTTTACTAAAAGTAATGCGTTTAGTACTTTGAAAATTACGAATTATCTATTTTTTGTTACAGTTTTAATAATAATATGACAAATATATCATACCTACTTACTACAAATATATTTTGTGATTTTAATGAAGTAAAGATTAATTCTAGATTAGACACCTACATTTAAATGTTTCATCTATGTATTAATTTAAAAAAAATATGTGAAAGAATAGCGAGTTAAAAAAAAAAGTAATTTTGTAACTTTCTAGTTTTAGGAGTAATAAGTAATTTATATTTACGTAAACATTAATTGATGCAATGAAAGATATGTGATGACATTAAACTTAAGAAAGGTCAAATGATTATAGTATTGTAATTACAACTTTTGAAAGTAACTTGCTCTATCAAGACTTGTAATCAAATGTAATTCAATATCTTACTTTAAAACTTCATCAAAATTAAAAATTAATATACTTTTCGATCAAATATCGGACCATATTTTAGATTAATCCATAATCACCATTGAGTAATCATTCAATCTAAATAATAAAATGTACTCTAATAACATTTTTCACAATTAGACTACACCACTTTTAATAATACTATTAGACTGTGAACCTAAAGTGAACCTAAAGAAAGTGAATTAGATCACATCTGACTAAAACTATTCATATTAGGAATCAGTAGTATGAAGATATTATTAAATTTAAATTATTGTTATTTATACTTATCTTATAATATTTGTATGGATTTGCTAAACAAATTAAAATAAACGTGGATTAAAATATGTTATTTGTATTCCACGATTGACCTGAAATATAGTCTATCTCTCTCACTAGATATTGATATTTAGTTGTATGTAGTGAGGGACATACAACGCGCAGTCTATCTCTTTATATCTTTATGGTTGGATGCGATTTAAAATGATACGAGGACAGCCGGTGTATGCGAAGTGGGAGATCGGATCAAGTGGAAGTTTAAAACGAGGGTGACCGACCCCAAAGAGTTGGAATGAAGGCGAAGGAGAAGAAGAAGAAGGTATAATAATATTTGCAAACGGTCCGACACTGGGTATGCAATATTATAGACTTCAGTATTATCAATATCATCTTTCTGTTGTAAAATCTAATAGTATAATGTCTTGCTCGTAATCGTAATTATAAACCATTATTGTATTTATCACGCAGAGTTCAAATTAATTAAAACCACATTTTTTTTTTTTTGGTAGATACCTAATATAAATACTAGAATATCGGTCTCGTCGCGGGGGATGTCAAAACCAATATAACAATGGAAGCAAAAAGAAATAACCGAGTATATACGGTATATTATTAATATTGTTGTTTCGCCCCGAAGTTATTATATTTTCAGGTACATTTATTATATTTCTGGCAGCGTAGTTATCCGGTCATTTATAAGACACATTTTTTTATTCGATTGAATTCTTTGGGTGTTTTTTCCACCTTTTTTCTTCGTGTTTTTTTTTTTCTTCGCCATCAAATTAATATTCACGTCGGAGTTTCCCGTCGGAGTAAAGCCAGGTGCCGGGTGACGATCGGGGGTAGAGGAGGAGGTTAGGGGCAACACATAATCACGAATAACGAGCCGAATCCGCCGTCGTCGGCGACAGCTGCATATAATAATACTAATAATAATTCGACGATGGTGGCGATCTCGAAAGACCACGCCCATATTATGACCATTCGTTTTTGCGTTGTTTTATTGATGTTCTCTTCTTTTGCATTTTTTATTATATTATTATTGTCATCATATACAAATGTATGTATAATACATGATAAATATTACGAATAACTAAAACTAGCGTTTTATATTGTTTTATTATGCGCTCCGTGAGTCTGGTACGGTGGCCGTGGCGTTTAGAAACCATCGCTATCGTATTTTAGATTTGTATAGATTCGGATGGTAGCTAGGGATCTATTAGTTTTACTGTGATGTGTATTTTGTTTTTTTGTCTATGTATTTTTATTTGGTAGGTACCTGTTTATTAAAATTATATGACTTAGAGAAATACTTCAAAATTAAATACAAGGTACATTATAAGTTGTACTTAGTGGTCTAAAAATAAATTTGAACTTAATGCACAAGTTTTTTCTGATAAGTGTTTTAAAATGAAATTTTAACGAAATTCGTAAAAATTACAGCATTTCAAAATATATCTTACCGAACTATTTTTTTTCTAAATATTGTATGCGTAATGCAAGTTGTTGTTACAACGTCGGAACCTGTCTAAACATTGGAAAATACAATTTCCTTATAAGGGTGCAAAACTGAGTTTGACCAAACGAATTCGTCATGCGCGAATAGTTATGGTTTTCGAATTTAGGTTTTTTCACGTTACTCGTTGGTATCAAACGAAATAACCCATTATTTACCCCTCGAGTTTTTTTAAGTTACATAGGTGCATAATGCTAGGGTTGCGACTATCCAACACGTTACTGCCCGACTGCCTGAGCAAATATGTAAAAACGCATTTAAATTATACCCACGGAATCAGTTCCCCGAAGAGTTAATATCAAAGACTTATGCATCATAATATGCTTGTTTTTGGAAGTGTAATGTACTACAGTATGTAGCATTTCTGTTTTAGTAAGGGTCCGAATAACAATGTTATAATATTCATAAATTACAATTTTTTCTTAGCCGTTATATTTTATTAAAATGGCAAACGGTGAATAAAATGATGTTGTAAAAAAAATATAGTGAATCAAAGTGCGTGACGTAAATTCAAATCAATGGGACGCAGAGATTTTAAATTTTGAATATAATATATAAACTAGTAGTATCTGATGTTTAAGCTCCGGTTCGGTTTTTAAATTTCAATTTCTATATTATATAATGGGTGCTTTGGACGTTCACATCACTTGAATTTTGGACTGATTCGAAATTGTTCTCCGGAGCTTTGGTGACGTGGAAAAAAACGAATGTTGCGTTTATAGAGGTTTACAGTAACGAGACGCTGCAGTTGAGGTTCTATTATTTAATTTGAACGTCACGGCCAACGGGCATTTCTCAGGGAGGTAAAAATGAGTCAGCCGAATTATCTCGCTAGTACAGTACCGACAAAACTTACTGAATTCGGTTAAATGAACGCAATAACTGCTAAGCCTAATGCGACAATTCGTATAAACTAACATATTGTTGTGTGTATAATGCTTAAAAACAGAACACGGTATTCGAGTTACACATAGTTGCATAATATACATAATTATACACGAGTTATACAGTTAATACATTCGAATAAGATTATGTAGGGTTTTTGTGGTTTTCAAACTCGTTTTTAAAACGATGGTTTCCAATCTGTGGTCCACAGGCCTGTTATATTGGTGGTCCGTGGACGTAAGAAAAAGTGTCCGTTATGACTTTTTTTCCGTTATACAAAGTCTTCAAAGTTAATGGTAACGGTTTATCCATCGAAAATTCTCCGAATAGTCTGCATGAATGTCAAAAAGTTTGAGAATCACTGCTCTAGACCATAATATATACCATCTCCGACGTCTTCGTATCTTTTATTGTTATAAAAATGTCAACTGTTGGCACGTCGAATGAATATAATTGTGGTTTATTTTCGGACCCGTTCAGCCGCCGAGTATAAAACATTTGTTGAACGTGGTCTTTAATGGCTAAATAAGTATAATCATAAATTTGAGAGATATTGGAATCTTGCCGGAAATTCGTGGCGTATGAGCACGACGGTACTCGGACTCTTTACGCAGATACGAGCGGTTTCCTACACACAGTTTACGGAAAATCCACGTGAACACAGTTCGAGTTGAAATAATTTACGGGAATTTTTTTTTTTCATTTAAAATACAAATAACTGCCAACCTTCATAAACAATATTGCTATATACATAACATATGTGGAGCTCATTAAAAATTAAACTGTTGCACCTTCTATATTTTGTTCGTTTTGACGTTTTTTTGGTATATACGGTATAATTATTTATCAGCTTAGGTACGTTGAACATTTTATTATAATTTATACAAGTATTTCGAGATTTTAAATTTTTTTGAAAAAAAAACATCAAAGAAATAACGAAAATACTATATGAAAACAAAGATATTATCATAGAAATATATTCGGAGCGCATTGTTTATAAAGGGTGACAAATGTTCATGGAAACTTTATTTTAATTATCGGTTCCAGTGCAACATCAAGGAGCTATTCAATGATACCGAGGACAGGCATCACATTGTCATGATAATTTTCAAGCTTCGATAGAAAAGGATATAAGATGAAGAAAATAATAAGATTAAATTAAACCCCATAATAATATTCACATTTTAAAAAACTTCAACAAATTGCAAAAAATAAATGATTATAAATATTTAGTTTAGTTGTATCTAAACAAACATTTTAACCATAACAATTTTCTAAAATAACTATTTTGAATTTTTGTACATTTTTTAATTTTAAGTTTTTCTACAAAAAAAAAAAAATAATAATATATTAACTATAGCACAGAGGCATACTAATTATTTAAAAAAATATACAAATTAAAAATATTGAATAGAACAAAAGTTATTTCAAGTGTCTGAGCATTGTGGGACACCCTATATATACATATATTATTTATATTATTATTAAGTTTCAAAAATATATTATAAATTGATATAGATTGGATCGTTAAAAACTTTTTATCCTCTAAACAATATTCATTTTAAATGTAAACTGGTGTACTATGATTTATGGCATAGGTATACAAAATGGAAATTATGACATTTTAATAATATGTTAAGTTATAAACTTTTAAACTGTAAAATTGAGAACGTCATAAAAACTTACACTGCATTAGGGTACTTTAACTATTATTTAAGTAATTTTCAGCACCAAAACTTAAAACTTCAAACTATTAGCTAACCAAATTACAATATAATTGTATATGCACTTACCCTAAACCTGCAGATGAAGAAAAGCACAAACTCGTGTTTATTATTAAGTCTATAATTTCTAATATAATTTTAGAGTTTTAAATGGAATGACAATCAATAATATTAATGTATTCTGTCAAATTTGAATATGTTTTTCAAGTTACTTAACGAAATTGAAACATATTATATAGTAAACCAGTGGCGTATATAGAAATTATTTTTTTTTTTTTTTTGGGTAAGAGGTTATAAAAGATCTTTTGGATTTTAGTTAATAAATAGATTAAATAAATTTGTAAATAATACGCACGTGTGACGTACTAAACATAATTTTTTATAGAGGGGTTGAACCCCTAAAACCCTCCCCTTTATACACCATTGTAGTAAACAAATCATCTGTCCACGTCTAAACCTACACGAGATAAATTGTACGTGCTTTATATTTTAATATAGAACGTTCTATAGTGAGACGTGTTTCAGTAAATTATGTTTTGTTTGTACTATTTTTTTTAAAATTATTTTTTTATAGACATAAAAAGCGTATATAATACTATTAATTTGCGAGATAATCGGCAGTTTTTATTTTTATTACAACTAAATTACCATATCGGTTAAAGTTGAACGACACAAACAGAAAACCATTTGGTAGCGTGTTTGTATTTTATTTACTATTATATTACTTACTACTAGTTACTACTATTATACAATTTATTAAGTATAAAGTATAAAATTTGTTTATGAGCAATTTGTGGTATACATTATAATTTAATATTTTTACACTAAAAATCAATATGACACTAGTGTAAACATAATGTAATATTATATGATTTATTTATAATGAAATTTATTTCCCTGTAGAAACGATTTTCTATATAATAGAATAAATTCTAAAATACATTATTATGGTTTTAAAATTTAAAGAAAAAATAAAAGACCCAATTTTAAAAGTATATAGATAAATTTTATCACGTGGATTTTTAAGGTAATCTTCAAGACTTGAAAATTATATTAGTTTCGTTTAATCTCTAATATTATATATAAATTATATAGTATACCTATGATAAAATTTAGTTATTGCATACACTGCGAAATAGATATTTTTAATTTGTAAACATAATATTCAAAAGCAATTTACCTTTTTATTATAATTTCTTCTCTACAATCGTATGCATTTCATAATTTTCAGGTCGTCAAACTAGAATTTTTCTAGTTTTTTTTTTAGTATCTATTTAGTTTTGTGAATAAAACTAAAAATCAAAAATTTCACTTGAGTTAAGTTTATTATAAGTTATGTGAATTATAAAGTCAAGGAAGTTGTATTTTTATAAGCCTTCAAATTTTGACGAAAATCATACAAATTACGTCATTTTTTTTTTTTTTGCTCCCAATCATTGAGTTTGCATAGATTCGTCCTAAGTAATATAGACACAAGTGTTAAGAGGTTACGGCGAATGAACCTCCTGAAACTTTGCTAAGCCCTCCCTTGACCATTGAGCAATTTTCACCTGTATATATATATATATATATAATATAGTTTACTCCTCCCCTAGGAAATTATTTACGGACGCACCTATGCGTGTATTCGCAGTGCAGGATGCATGTGGGTCTTGTCGCCTATCGGGTAGTTAGGGTAGTTATATGTATTATGTATATAGTATACATTGTGCGTCTTTTATAAACCTGTAATTATTATTTCGTGGAATATATCGGGCCTGCAGTGTAGTTTCGTTAGTATATTCATTCACGATGACTTGTATAGTAATGGTACCTACTGAATTAAATTTTAATACCAATCGAGGTCGGCCAAGCGGTGCAAATTGCATGAGTAACCTATTTGATATAATAATAAGATATATATTAGATAAAATCAAGTTCGATTTTATGTTGCTTAATAAATATAAATAATTTAATAAAAAAAAATACAAACCTATAATATTTTATTCCGATCTTCATGAAACTTTGCACAAATGACATTTCAAATAATAAGAGGAAGGATATTTTGTTATCTCGAATTTCAACCCCTAAAGAGTGGCTAATGCAGAGTTTCTGGTAATTTCGGAAAGAAAATTGAACTTTTTTAATTCGATTTATGAGTTACCTTGGCGACACGGATGAAAAAAAAAATAGTTATTGTTATTTAGTTGACACGGATAAGAAAGTACCCATTAAAAAAAATTACCAGGCAACAACTATTTACTGTTTTAGGGATATACTAGGTGAGCCCGGGAAATACCGAGTAATTCAGCTAGTATATTACAACATACAATCTAAAAATCAATTCGAAGCCTAATCCTTTAGGGAACTATTTTTGCATGTATATTATTGAATTATTTATTTAGTAAAAAAAATTACATATAGCTGACGTATATAGGTGGGTACAACAAACTACACGGTAATAATATACATATGTATTCCAGCTATTATTAATTCATAAAAATATGACCCACATTTAATTTTAATGTGTGTGGAATTAATATAATTATATATCTACCATATTATGTGTGCTTGAAAAATAAAAATTAACCGTTTAAATCATTATTTACGTTTAATCGTAATTTTATGTGTGTAATAAGATTGCCGCGAGTAACTTAGTGTACTGAAATTAAATTATATTTTTAAAAACATATTTCCATGTACATATTTATTACATATTTAACCTTTATGCTCGTTTTCTATACAGTACACGATAAAATTAAAATATTATATTCAGTGGTCGCTTAACATAACATTAAAAATAGTACTATAAATCTCGATAAGTACACTAAGAAACGAAGCATTACTATAGTTAGATATTATAATAAATAGGTATAATATAATGACGGAAATGGTCTCTTTCTCGTGAAATTCCTAATATCTAAAAACACTGAACATCATATTATTATCCGGTGGTACCTAGGTACCCAATGTTGTAACTTGGTTATTTTTTGGCAATTTCTGATCATCACAGTTGCATTCTGATTCTGATATAGTCTCCATTATTATACGAATATTGTTTTAAAACAGAATGTACTGCTTTTCGAAAATGGATCGAAACTAAAAACGATCGTGAAAATATATCTTTGACAAATTAAAAATATGTACGCATATAAATAGCTACGAAAAATTTGTTTTCAAGACTCCCCCTTTTTTTTTCTTTCATTAATAACCACGTATATATTCATAAAATTAAAATAATTATTTTATTATGCATACATTTCTGAATACGTATACACTACCTATACCTATACCTATGTATTTATTATAATATACTAATATACATATTATTACCAAATTACACCGAATAATAGCAATTAACAATTTTAATTTATTATTTGAAGTGAAAAGGTTCATTTGGATCACATAAATAACGTCATATTTATGTTGGCTATAAAAAGTCACTTAGCTAAAATTAAAATTAGATTAAAAGTGCATGAAACACAAAAATCATGGTTTAAATTATGTATGTATACTATGTGGAAAATTAATACATAGGTATTGGCGACATAGTGAGTACTTATAGATAAAATATTATTATTATCTCCCAAGGCAAAAATATCTGATACAGTTTAAACAAAATAATCTCACGATCTTTATCTATCGAAATTATTCAAAATGTATAGCTATGAAATGTAAACACATTTAGCTTTAGCTGATGGATAACCATTAAACGTATTTAACGAGATGGTCTCATAGTGATAACACGTTAAAAATGACCATCGTCGTATTCAGTGCGGGAAAAGTATTTTAGTGTGGAGGATGTGCCTTTTGGAGGTTTCGACTTTCAACCCTCACGCCTCCATTTCGTAGGCTGACATGTCATCGTTTTATTTGTAATATAGTAATAAAATAAGCTATTCTAATATTATAAAATTCGACCATTTAAAGTTTTACATACAAATATATAATATATATATATATATTTCTATAATATAAAATAGAGTCGACCAGATACTTATTGTTATATTACATTTTCACTTGTACTTAGCCGGATGTTTTAAAAAAATATCGAAAGAAATGATTTTTTATATTTTGTTTTTATTCTTTTACGCGTTAATTGATTATTATTTTTCTTTTATCCTTATGAAATCGTAGTACCCGTTAAATAATAGATTATACATATCAGCTATTCCGGTCGCATTTATCTATATTATGGTATATCGCCGCTACAATGAGTATGTCATCCACTGCGGTCATTACGCTATCTTTATGACGTGAAAATACGTTGTGCCGGTACAACGGTTTCGTCAGTATAATATTACAACAGACATATACATGTATACGGAACCATTAACGTATTCGCGTGTTTCGTGTATATTATACAAAATAATACACGTTTTCAAAATGTACATTATTTTCTTTGCTCGAATAATCCGCATGGCGGCGTATAAATAATGTCAAATCTTCGCACGTGAACAAATATATTCGTTAAACCGTCCACCGGGAAATTTAGTCGAGATGAAAAAATAATAATAATAATATGGATAATACGATTCTGAACGAATTTCGGTTAAACACGTTCGGAGTGCTGTGTTTTTTTTTTTCAAAATACGTGCATTGAAAAATCGTACAGAAAAACTACTACATAACACTCGAGTTTTTTTTTTACCGTGTGATTTACTTGTAACGAACCTCGTGTACAATTTATTTTCAAGTGGTTTTGTTTCGTCAAAACAATTTTAATCCACATAAAAACAGAAAAAAAAACTAAAGAAACTCGAAAATATCTAATGCATATAAGCTTAAAAATTAGAAGATTTTGAACATTTAACTACGTCTTGAAAAGATTAATAAAATTATTCTACGAAAATTTCAGGTCTCTACGATTATTTAATTAACTAAATTAACTAAGTTAATATACCTAGATCTAGATTGTGTTATCGTTTTCTTATCACCTGGGGAGAAGTGAGTGCTGTGCTCAGAATTTAAAATGGAGATTATTTCTGCTAGATTTTAATTATTTATATTGAAGTGAAAGATACATATTTTTTTGAAAAAGTTTAATTTTTTTTTCTCCAATGAACATATTACACCTATATAAAAAAAAAATTAAAAAAGGTGCTACACTATGTACATCGTAGAACGTGACGCTATCACTGATTCTGTTAAAACGTAACGTGATGGCATTTGGTAAATTAAAAAAAAAAGTAAACGAAACAAATATAAATAATAATATACGATTGTTAATATACATGATTGCTTATGAAGTTTTAACAGTGAGATGATATTATATTAATATTCATTAAAATATATTTCGTGGAATAAAATTTCCTCAGAAGATATTGTATACATTTTTAAAACAACAGTTCAACTCCCACTCCAATGAAGAAAACAAATTTACCTGTACCATTTATAAAAAGGTTGCTTATCTTTAAAAATCGAATTTTTTTTTTATAAGTGCTTATAGCCAAAACAATGAATCAACAATAAAATAATAAAGTAAAATCAAAATTATTAAAATAGTTAATACTCGTAAATAAATTTATTAATAAAAAATGCATATGTAAAAATAAAATAAATAAATGAATCAATGCGTCGTCTGGAGTATTATGATAAGTGTATTATACGACCGGTTTCGAATTGAAAATTTATCATCAGGTATATCACAGTCAAAATGTAAAACGCGACTTCACGAATTTTTAATTCGCATCGATTCATTGATTTATTTTATTTTTATACATACATTTTTTATTTATATATTTATTTACTTTATTTAATGAATTAACATTTTTACGATAGTAATAATGATTACAAAAGTCGATAAATTAAAAAATGTAAACTATTTACGTAGTAAAAATATAATAAAAGTTTCGAATAGGTATCGCTCCGCTTCAAGCTTGGCAAAATCCTTAATGTTCACTACTGTTATGCGTACAACCGCGGTATATGAGAAGCTTTTATAAATTCCAACGCGGAACAAAACAATAAAACACGCAACCACCGCCGTCGCCATCGTGAAGTATAGTAGAATTAACACGAGAGCAGTGTTAATAACAATTAGAGAAAACTTATTTGGTCCTAAGAGCATACGACTGACAGTAGTGAGTTTCAAAAAGAGCGTTCGGGGTCGGAAGTTAAGTATTATAATATAGGTCAATATATATTCCGTTTTAAAAATAACGGAATAGACGATCAAACTCAAAAAAATTAAAAACTAAACGTAAGATTAGTGTGGTGTGTGGTGTACTTTAATATGGTTTATACTTTATACAGATGAATATCGTTGAATCAAACAATAATCATTAAGCGTGGCTATCATATTATCATTGTAGACGAATCCGGTAAAAAAAATCGTTTAACCGTAAAATACAAAAAAAATACGTACATTTAATAAATTAAAGTTTTAACATAATTATATCTAATCAGAGTACTTGAAAAATATGGGAGAGACGACACCAAAGTATAAAAATTCAATTTCCGTTACTACAATAATTTAGACACAATTGAATATTTCAATTTTTGTTCGTTTTACCAACGTGTCCGGGGACCCGTAAGTGAATTTACTTAACAATTAATTTTCTATTTTTCTCAACTATACAGAAAAAAACGAACATAGTTCGTACCATAGGTAGACCACTAACTGTTGTAGGTATGAAGTTTGCAGAAACGTATTATAGAATATAGGCTATATAATGGTTATTTTCAGGTTTTTTCTACGGTGAAAACAACGATAAATCATTACAATTAAAAAACGGTTCTAAGTGGAACTTGCTAAACTAGTAAGAATATTATACAGTATATGTCTTATGTAAGTGTTAGTCCCTATAGTAACCAAAATAGTCCAGAAATAAACAAAAATAATATTACCTGTATTAAATAAATCGTTAAAATTGTAAATATTATATCGTCATTTTTATTATATCGGTTTTTCTAAAATGTTTTGAAAAAATTTTGGGGAAAGTAGCAAACTAATGCAAATTAGTATCACTGGGTGAAAAATACATATCGTTAAATACAGTGTGAACAAATTTGAAATATTTATACTAATCTAAAATGTGTTATTCGAGTAAAAAAACACACACTATTTTATTTTCTACACTACACTCGAAATCTAAAATACAACATTATACTAGAGTACCTACAATTGTGGAAAAATATTGTAACATCAAACTCGGAATATCATATTTTTATGCTTTATAAAACGTAGATACCTATATAACAATAAGAAATCGCAGTCGGTATTTTTCGGAACAACAAATATTATTATTGCAGCGAAAAAACGGGCTAAATTTTACTAATTTTGGTGCACAAGACAAAAATCATAAGCGAACACGTAAATTCTAGGACTTATTTTAGATGTGCGGTAGAATATAATCTGTGTGGCACCACAGCAATATAGTTCAAAGTGCGTGGAAACAAATTGAAAACCGTGTTGTAGGATTTAAATTTAAATTACTTTACACGAAAATGCATTTTACAGTCTGTGCGTGGGAGTAGAAAACTTTTTATTTTAAAATAATGTGTTTTTTTTTCCTTTTTCTAAATAGAATACAGGTCCGAAAAGAATTCTCAAAGCCCTCTGTAGAACACAAATATTCGATTTTGCCATAATTCAAATTTTTATAACATATTATTTATAATATATATTACGTAATATCACGATAAAAAATGTCGTTTAACATAAAATACAGGTACGGTTAGATAAGGTAAATATACGAATACGTTCACCCGCAAATTTTTAAACGAATTAAAGAAAACAAATCGTACATTTTTGAATTGTTAAACATTCTATGTTTGACTTACTGAAACCGGGCGAAATCAATCATGTTCGATCAAATAAATAATACACGCTTATTATTGATATACTCATACCAAAGTTAGGACTAGTATAATAAAATCGCAAAATATATTATATTCTTTTATAACCGTCTGATCGTAAATCATACGTGTTTTCAACTTATTAATACTTGTTTAATATTATAGGTTTAATGACAATTGTAAACGGACGCTTGGAAATTCTATCATATTTATGTAGATTATACAGATTATAATATATGTACAGATCACTCGTAAACCTGCATTGTTTTTGTGAGGATTTGATAATTAAATCGGAAAACTATGAGTAGGTAGTATAGTGTGATTTATTTGAACAAATATTAATGGAAAATATATAGGTGTAGTAGATATTAGGTAGGTAGGTAAATTAGGTTTAATTAAGTATTAACGTTTATTTAAAAAAAAATAATTAAAATATATAATTATATTTAATAATTTAATAATTATATTTTAATAAAATGTTTAATATTTGCAATACTTTAATAGTTTTCAAATGAATCTGGACAGTTTTTAATAGTTTTATACTCACGAAGATATTTTTTTTTTTTATTCGTCTCAAATATTCTACTCGTGGCATAATATTATTTTGCTAATCGTAAAAAAACGATAATTTCGATACCTATAATATAGTTATATTTTCGAAACGATAATTATATTTCCTTTAACGTCGCCCTATAAATTATTATAATCGAATACGAATTCTGTTTTTAATAATATTCTGTTAATAATATATTCCGCGCGGATATCGATCGAAATAAAAAATATTAATAGACCGGCTGGTTTTTTATAAACAAAATTCAATTCCTATAAAGTTTTAAGATTACACGATGAGTGTTTTTCGCGTCATCTCGTTTTATTTGCGGTTTTCCATCGAAAGCATAATACCAGATAAATACGAAGACGGAAATTTATGTGTTTACCAAAAAATAAAAAAAAACCAAATTAAATAGCTTTCTGCATAAAATATGAATGAGTTGTTATTATTATTATTTTTTTTTTTTAATACATTTTTTATGTAGAGAGGCGACGGTTTTCGACAAACCAATTACATAACCGACGGGCAATCGTCATAAACACACTTGCTGGTTGTGCGATTTATAATAGTATAATATTATGATAACCGTCTGTATATTTCAGCTATGGACTAAGTCAATATTATGTCAATTTATGATTTTAGTCATACATATATAATATATATAAAACAACTAGATTTTCTACTATGATATGAGTTATGAGTGTAGTCCCATAAGAAATGTGAACAGCTTAACAGCTAAAGGACAATTTTTATTGATTGGCCCATGAAATATTTGTTTATATCGTGAATTGTGTGAATTATGTATGCACACCATTATGGTATAGAGTCTATGGGAATAATTTCAAATATTTGTCATGCCTACCTAATATGGTGTATTTCTCACGTAATTCACTGTATGAACAAAATATTTCACGGGTTTATATAATATTATATCTATGAAATTAGCCTATCGAAAATCGTTTGTATTCTAATATCATACGCACACACCAGATGGACTAAGTGAGTCAGCGCCTCGAGTGATGGCTGAAGGACTGATAGCTGTAGAAAGTGGTGGAGACGGTCTGCATCCGCCGACGGGTAGAATAGGTATTTGGTGTACAATAATAAAATCTTTAGAGAAAAAAAAAAATTCAGATATATACCGGTAAACACGTCACGTACCCATATGAAATTCCCGATAGAAAATTCGATTTGGCATTTCAATTCGTTAGTTCGCGCACCACTGTCCGTGAAAAGTAGGTATGCGTAATATATTATATATGATAAAGGTACTCATATATATATGTGTGCGTTTTTTGTACTATATATACCTACATGTATTTATATATCTATACTGAATCACCACCACAGCTCTTATTTAAGTATTGCAGACTACGTGCACGATTCTGGAGAATATTATTTATTATTTAGGTTTGGGTCTCGTATATAAATGGCCTACGTGGCATTATATGTGATTTTTTTGATCGATTTCAATGGGGAGAGAGGAAAAGATCTTCCTGCACGCAGTGGCAATGCGGTAAATGTGTATATAGTGCAGCTCTTGACGTATACGCATCTCGGTCCGAATAATATATTCGAAGGAGAAAACCCCTTGTAAAAAATATAATGTATATAGTCGTTTATTTTTTACTTTTTTTTATGCTGCCTACGAGAATCTTTAATATAGCGACTTGGTATACTTGGTGATTGAGACTTCGAAGCAGTGAGATTAATTCAAGGAAAATTTACCCCGCACGTGGACATTTTAGCATCAATAAAGGAGAAAAAAGACATTTTTATCGTTGTATAGAAAATATTAATAATTATAGTGTATTTGTATACATTGAACGATCATAAAACATTATAGTGTTATTAACTAAAAAAAAGTGCTGATACTGGGAACGAATATGCCACTCAGGATGTGCTTCCCAGGTGGGAAGTTGAGATAATAGGATACATTGGGTTATTTAATTTATATCCGCGAGCATCCGTAAATTATTGCTAATGAAAAACGATTCTGAGTGAAAGTTTGGTTGTACATGTTTTGAGAGGCCGTCATTTTTATGATCATCGTCAAAATTTGATATTGAAACTCCACTAAAAAAAAATACTATATGTATAACCTAAGTCCATTATTTTTTTTTTACCACTTAAGAGGATTTATAATGAACCTTCTGTAAAATCTTCCAGCATTTCTGGTTAATCATACAATTTAATCCAGAGTACCTACCAAATAAAAGATACGTAAAAAACTAGCAAAATTTAAATATCTATAATTAGTTCTAAAATAGCTAAAATAACTTTTAAAATTTTACCACGTTTATAAAAGTCAAATATGAGTTTTCTGTCAACATTTTAATTTTCTGCGAATATTTTTAACTGATATATGCTAAAAAATGCAAAATTAAAATAATAAAAGAACATTAAAAAATAAAAAAAAACATTTATTTCGTTAATGTTTCCATTGAAAATGTATTTTTTTTTTATTATGCTTAATTATTAAAAAAACTACACAGGAAATTAAAAAACGACTTTTATCCTCACTACTCACATTAAAAATTCAACAAAAAAGTTTCATGTTATTTTTCTATTGGAATAATATTTCTAGTATAAAACATAAGTCGTACAATTTAAAAATAAAGGAATTATGCCACCATAAATTTATCAGTTTTTATTTTTCATCTTTTTTGTTTTCCTCAATTATTATGAAAACTTCTCGGAAAATCAAAAAACGATTTTCTTTGTGAACAACTAGATCAAAATTTAACAAAAAAGGTCTCTACCGTTTTTGATTGAAGAAAGATTTCTAATAGAAAACATATATCAAAAAATGTAAAATCATGAAATCGTCACATTGTAAATATTTGTTCATTTATATCTACGTTTACTTACGTTTTTTCTGTATTATTATGAAAACCGCTTTGAGAATCGAAAAATGACCTCCCTAAAGTACCATAAATATCCAAATTCAACAAAAATGGTCTTTTGTCATTTTTTTTTTTTTAGAGTAAGTTATAATGTTATGATGTCTACAGTATAAAATGAAAACAAAAAAAAAATAAACATCACTGTAAAATCAATACACTCCTCGATTCGCCCAGAATCTAAAATTATAGTACATTTTAATTTTAACAATATTTAGCGTTTATAAGATATCTTTATTATTAATGGAATGTGTTAGTTGATAAAATCGGTAAGAATTAATTTTTAATATTAAAACTATTATATTTATGATATAAAATTAATTTAGGATAAAAATATATTGAGACTGTATTAAAATAATTTGGAATTTTTTCTACGAAAATCCTGTCGTACTTGCATGGCAAATGTTTTAGGGGGAAATACAATATATGTGATAGACAAAATAGTTTATTTTATATAAATAAAAATGCATTTTAATTTTTTGTATTGCACAAATTTGTCATTACAACGATACATAAATATTTTTGTAAACGCTGTTCGAGCGCTGGCGCTCAGTGTATGTAAATTACGTGCGCGCATGTGTCGAAACGAACTCGTTGCCTAACTTTAACGTTTTAATATGTATTATTTATTGTTTACGAGATTGGATTTTCAGTTTTGATGTTTTCGGTGCACAAGTAACAAACATTACAGGAAACAAACTTAAACTTTTATTTCAAACATTTATGCGTCTACACTAAGTAATGATTTATACTTATACATAACACAAATATCTGGTTCGATACGTATTTTCGTTCGTCAGACTGCAATTTATTAAGGCACCGGTAATATTCGTATTATTAAAAAAAGCCAACCAAAATACAAAATAATATATAGCAATAATTTAATAACGTGGTAAATATCCAAATAATTATATTGTAAATCCTATTTGTTTACGATCTGACTGCGCAATTATTTCGAAAATTTCGAATTTTGCGGTTCAAGGATCAGGAGAGATAATACTCTTTAGAAAAGGTTCATAATAATAATGCGTAAAAAGAGACAATTGGGCCGTGAACTGAATTTAAAAAGACAAATTATAGTTATTATTATTTATGAAGGCGATTGAAAGCTGAAATATATTTCTTATCCTTGCAAATATTAAGAAAAAAAAAAAAAAAGGAGAAAAAATGTTGATATTCTTAATTAGATTTTTTCTCAAAACAAATAAATGATTGTTGAGAAAAAAAAATAATTGTTTTAAATAATTTATGTCCATATATTATTATGTTTTCATCAAATTTGTTTTTTCGAGAGATCTTAAAATATATATTTTTCATTTAAACGAAAAATTATAAACTAAAAAAAAAATTATAATAATAATAATAAATAAATGGACGCAGACACGATCGATCTCAAACAAATTAGTTGATCTTATTCATAGAAGAGTACGGATAATTATTTTTAAAAACTAGTTGTTGAGGTAAACACGTTTGTGAAAACAAAATTGTGCAAGTACTCACTCACACGGGTTTGTCGTGAATTCAATTCATTTTTAATGCAAACTGCTAGACGCGACATTAGTTGCGTCGTTCATCGGAATTTATTATATTGGTATTTTATTCTCAGATTTCTAAAAAAAAAAACATTTTTATTTTCCCGAGTGAACTCGCTTTACGAGTCAACCGAATCGTTTCACAAACTTCGTCCATCAAGGCATAAATGTAAAAATGTTCTAGGTTTATTTTGATAAAATACAAGTTTTCCTGTCTGTAAAGTGTGATAACTTATTGGTTCTAACGAAGAAAACTATTTATGTAGCGTAAAATTTGAATTGCCTCGTTTCACGATACTGTTTTGAGTTATCATTATTATGTATTATATACATCATATTTCGTGCATTTAAAAATATATTATGAAATATTGTGAATACAATAATATTATTTGTTGAAAACGTTAAACATTTTCGCGCGCCTAGACCATAGAATATAGAGATATTTAACTATATTGATTTAAATAATCGTAAAAAAAAAGAAATATATAATAAAAAAAACAAAAGTTAAATTAATTTTAACAAAACGTTAGAAATAAATTTGTTGAACGAATATTTATTTATGGTCCTTCAAAATATGTCTGGAGCAGACACTATAAAACCTATATCTATATTATACATTCTTTACATAAATATATTCATATGAATTTTCGTTATAGGCGTACACAAACCTAGAATTTTATCGTTGATTATTTTAAGAGAAAAAAAATTGTTATTGTTTTTACTTCAATAATTTTTTATTGTTATTTTATGGAGTACAGTTGTATATAATTATAAAATATTATTGTACAGTAAGTAATAATATTGTGCGACGATCAATGTAAGTATACGTATTTGTTATGAGGGATATGAGGAAATATGAACGATAATTTTTAGTTTTTGAATGAACATTTCAAATGGTTGAAGATTTTATACCGCAAATAAATACACTCGACTATTTTTATTATTTGATTAAAACATTTTAATGTTTATATTTTAGATCTTATATACTTTAACCTTTTAAATGACATAATATTATGCAGGTCAGATAAATTTATACAAGTTACAGAGTAGGTGTAAGTTCTTAATAAATATAAGAATATTATAACCGGGAACAAAAGTGTGTAATGTAAATTTTGCATTGCCTTATTTAAAGTACTATGTCCCATATTTGGCTTTTTACAGAGGGGATGGTTTTAGGCAGGGGTGTAATTTGGTTATTTGTGACTTGTATTAAAAATCAATTGGTCTATTGTTTTTATTTTTAGAAGTTAAAGTGAGACGTTTAGAAACATAACATATATATATTTATATTGAACCAAATTGATAAAATATACTCGAATACTTTCGACAGTACGTAATGTAAAATTTAATACCTATTTTATGTATATACAATAGTAATAATAAACCAAAAATTCTCATTAAAATCTTACTTTATAGACAATATAAAACTGCACAGTGTGTTTCCTTCTAAATGTAATATGAATTATTTCTGTCCAGTGAGTTCAGATTGCAATCGGATTTTCAGGAAAAGCTAGAGAATACTGAAATACACATTTTTTGAAAATTTTCAAATATTTGCCTTCTTGTTGTACGCATGTACAATACAACTTGCATTTTTTAAATGGTAACATATATTTTAAACACCAAATTTGATTAAGTCATTTTGGCCTTTTACCCGTTGATCTCAAAGCAAAATTGGTTAAATGAAAATTAGTTGAACTTTTGATTTAAATGGATTCATTTATTAAAAAAACTTTAAACAAATTGACAAATTGAGTAATGCGCTGATTGCAGTCACATATGGATAATGATTTGTTAAATTTTGAAAAGCTCGTTTATAAGATAAGTATTGGTGTTTAATAATTGTATAAAATAAATAGGTAATAGAGATTACAAAAATTGTGTCAATTTGTTTAAAGTTTTCTTGATAAATTAACCGATTTAAATTGAGAATTTAACATATTTTCATTCAATTAATGTTTGCTTTTAAAACCAAGGTTAAAAGGTTAAACGACTAAAACGAATTAGGTCTATGCAAATTTGATGTTTAACTACATTTTACCATTTACAAAAAATGCAAGTTATATGTACATGTGCACAACAAAAAGGTAAAAATTTGAAAATCTTCAAAAAAAATGTGTATTTCAGTATTCTCTAGTTCTTCCCGAAAATCTCATTTAAATTCGAAATCACTGGATAGAAGTATTTCGTGTAACTTTTAAAAGAAAACAACACTGTATATTCTACGGTGCAAATCCACATCATATTATTATTTTACTCGATTAAAACGTGTTCGCATATACTATTATAAATTATAGAATCCTGAAAAGTGAAAGTGTTGATTATGATTTACAAGTTTCACTTTATAATAGTTTTAATTTTTGTCAAACATTTTCGGCTGTACAACCACCAATTTTTCGTAAACTCCCGCATATTACGAACAAGCTAATCCCACCCTAAAATTCGATTTTTACTTCTATATCGATTAAAAAAAAAACTGTATAATAAATCGATAAAAAGTAGTTACACAATAGCATCATAATCCAAAATTGTTCAGCAAGTTTGCACGCATTTACAGCGCAGCATAATATCATACGTGCGATAATGATTAATTTCCAGTTGTATTATCATAATTTTTTTTTCTTTCTTTTTACAGCGATCATTCGATAAGCACTCGTGTAGAACGACTGGACGAAGCAATGATGGAACAGTCCCGAGCGCTAGGCGAACCGAGCGGATTATGACAATACTCGGAGTCGAGCTGCTGAGTACGACGACGTGAAACTCGACACAAATTTTGCATAATTTATTATTGTTTTAATGAAAAATACTTTTGTCGTTTCATGACAACATAATGTATGGCTCTGCCGTTTGGACGGACGAACAGACTTCTACGTAATACCGTTCGGCAAAAATTATCATACCTACAGTTATTATTATTTTTAACTCACGTCACCATCGTTATATTATTAATATCTGACATAATATGTGAATATAAAAATATGTATGCATATGACGTATATATATCACGAATTATTATGTTAGTACTGACTATATAGAAGCCCAACGAGCTATGAAAAAGTGACCGCTAAACTGAATATTTATTGCTCTTGTCACTGCTCCGGGTAAATTCTCACTAGTGCTCCTATAGTAGATTAATAGTCCCTTACAAGTGTATTCATCACAGTATAAAATAATATATTACGCTGTATATTTTAAACCGTGTTCTATACAACACTATTAAAGATTTAAGTTCTACCATTAGGAGTGTTATAAAAAAAAAAATAGTGCCATGTTTTCAGTTTTTCCATAGATGACATCAATGATATGGAAAGGCCATCGGTAGTATTTTTGAATATCGACTTACACTGTAATAAAACCAATAATACAAATTACCTTCTTTATCTCCCTTATCCTATGTTAACCGTGATCATAATGCCCGCCCCTTTTGGATAGTGGCCTATAATGTACTAAGTATATGAGCGATGTATTTAATATCTATGTTTTTTTAGTGTTTTACACACATTAAAGCTGTTTCAGAGAGTCAATTTTACAGTCACGGTGACAACGGCTGATTATCATAGCTATCGTTGGGCGTCCATAATATCGAATATAATTCGTGGTACGTAAAACGTATACACAGTATATGTATATTTGTGTATTTATGTATACCTACTTATTTATGTAGGTATGTGTGCTGCTCTCATAAGCAAAAATTACGGAAGTCATTAGCGAACGTTTTTAGGAAAATCGTGTTTTTATATATTTTATAAGTGCATAACACTTTATACTCAAAGTACTACTTAGTATTACTTAAAATATGATATGGATTTTCAAATGGTAATTTTACCCAATAAATGCAATGGAATAAATATAAATACGAATGAAGTACTTATCCAACTTTTTATATTATAAATATATTTATAATTTATGTCGTATTTATATTATGACTATTCTATTTTAATATATATATTTTACACATGCCATATTATTACGATTAGCAAAACCACAATCTGTACTAACCATAAACGCCATAAATAATTATTTTAATTTTATACTAAGCAAAATGCCGTATCTTCATCAATATATACGGCGTTCTTCCTTAGCATGATTATTTTACGGCGTTTTTACCTAGTAAAAATGCATTTTTCGACCATTTACGGCGTTCGGTGAAAACAAATATTGCTAATATTCTTTTTGTAGGAAAATATTTTAGATATACGGCATATTAATCTAAAAGGTCTGAATGTAAGGAATTTTTTTTTACATATTACAAATTTTTCAATATTTTTAGACTTTCAGTGTTTTTGCTTATGCGGGCAGTGTGTGTGTATGTATGTATGTTTGTGTGTATGCATGTATGTATGTATGTGTACAATTTGTACACATGTGTATGGATGCGTGTGTGTGTATCTATGTGAGAGTATATTTTTTTTAACGTACAGTTAACAAGTTGTTAAGTTTTGTTAAGTTGTCATTATTTATTTATTTTTATTTTTTTTGAAACGCATGTTATTATGATTATTAAATTATAAACATAAAAAAATCGAGTATATTATATATATATACGTATATTGATTTAGATGACCATATTATTATTATACGATAATACAATTATTATTATTATTACCTATATATAAATAAGTATTAATGTATATAAGTGAAAAAGGTGAGCTTGCATATTTTATGTAATAAAAATAAATATTACGCACATTTTAACGAATAAAATAAATTAGAAACGCCGTTGATACTAAAAATACAAAAATAATTTGTTTAAATGTATTATTGTTATTCAATTTTTACGGCGTCCATAAAACGCCGAATTTTTAGTAGATAGTACATTTCCATTGTGATGTAATTTATTTCAATCACGTTATACAATAAGTACGATACTTAGTTAAATTACAGTAAAATCATTTAGTTTAAAAACTGTACATCTAAGTGTAACTGCAGTTATTTTGTTATTTATTTGTTTTATGGGAGCGACATCATATTATTACGAAGGTAAGTAAGTGCAAATAAATGCACGATTTTAGATCGGTTAAAATTAATCGATTGTTAGTTTATTTCATTTCTTTTATTCATTTCATTTATTTCACTTTAAATAGTAGGTACTGACTTTATTGTCATTCACTGTAATGTCAAATTTCTATAATGACGTTAATGATATTAATACTTTAGTTTTCAGTTTTATATTTGAGAATATTTATCCATACCTACCAGAAGCGGTCTCTGTGGCTAAGGTCAGAGGCGGCACCTCACTTAAATTTCTGAAATAAATAATACCAGATGAGTAAATCTTAAAAAAATTATATCGATCAAAGTTGGTTGGAAAAAATAGAAATAAATTTATCGAAGATTGGTGCTCAGATAAGCGTGTTTCCGTTTAAGAAAATATGAGTTTTATTGAGCACCACAAGGGTTAACATTTTTACATTAGCTCAAAAGGAGTATTTTGACACAACTAAATTTCTTATTAAAAAAAAAATCATATTTCAATCGAAATCCATCCAGCTGAAATATTCCGTGTCAATATTTGAGTGAAACACACAACATGCGTTAAAGGTATACTACACGTATTTTAAAATTGTTTAAAAAATCCTCAGTACTCAAAAATCGAATAAGCGCAAACAACATAATATCAAGGAAATGTCGATATTGTGACGCGGCGACGACTATTGATTTATTTACAACATTGGGCGTATGAAAGTAAAAAATCGTCCCGAGACAACAGAACAGCTGGCGTACAATAATAATACTATTATATCAATAATAACTCAAACATGGCAACATTTCACACATATATATATATTTTTATGGTAATTCAGGAAACGTTTATTATAACGACCGTGCGGATATACATAACATTATAATAATATTATGCACGACGCATAATAATATTACGGTATTATAATTTGTTGTAATTTTGTATTTTGTAAACTCGATAGTAATTATTATGTTTGACATGGAAAAAGTTTTTTTTCTCTTCGGGCAAATTGTGAATATGTAATATGATTTGATTAGATCTCGTTTTGAAAATATAATGTACGTTATTAGCCGACAAATCGCAAACTGTATTCACGTCTACTATTTTTGAATTAAGCGAGGAACGTATTGGTTGTCTTACGATGCGTGTTTCTATTTTTGTCTGTTTATATATAAACAACACTATTCTACTGGAAATCTTGCCCCAATAAGAAACTGTATAAAACCATTCTTGTGGAATTTTTGATTTGATTGGTGCATTGAGATTACTTTTTAATTTCCCTTATAAGATTTTTTCAATAAATGGGAAACACTGGACATTTTTTGTTTAGATTTGTGTATTTAGATTACTGAGTTACCTTGGTAACAATGGAAAAAATCCGGCAAATTATATTCTGCTCGGAATCGTTGCATACAAATATAAATGAAATTGCTCTTTATAATAATATAATATAATCCCTTTCAACTCCCTTGCTAAATAGTGGCTGACTTTTCAGTATAAGCATTTTTAAATTACGTGCAGTTGTACACGTTTTTGTTGTACAAAATTAAATTCAAAAAACAAACGGACATACTTCGCGCGATGGATGGGCCATCTGTTGTATATAAGAAGTTGGGATAGTAGAGGAGAAATTTAATGTACATCTGTACTCAAAGATTAATCATTACTAACAAAAAATGATTTTGAGCGGAATTCAAATATATATGTTTTGAAAGGCTGAATTTTTACGATTTGAAAATAATATATTTCGTAAATTTTTCCGTTTTTCCCTCGTTTTTTTCCCTGTTTTTCACATTTACTAGGAAAAATTAAGAGAAAATCAAAAAATGACCTGTTTAATGTGCACCCCAAATCAGATTTCCTTTCAGAAAAAGTGCTACACTTAAAATCATCAAAATTCCTGGTAGAAAAGTTGTTTACAGATTAAAAAAAAAAAAATTAAAATAAATGTCATTGTACACCAATACATTCCTGGCTCCTCTCAGTATCTAAAAATATGTTAGTACCATTATGTTATCAAAGGGTACTTAAAAGTTAAAGAATAAATATTTATTGAAAATACAAAAATAATAATGGTTGTTATAACATATAGCGTGATATATTGTCTATAATTATACAATTATAGACCTCTATTTAAAAATCTTCTATTTAACGAAACTCTCTGTATAACAAAATATTTTAACCATGCAATTTTTATTCAAAAACGTGTTTGTATAACGAATTAATTTTGTGTTACTTTTCTACAACAAATATAAAAACTATTGTTATTCATGCTCATCAAGAGTACAGATCGTATTATGATAGCATAAATTCATACTTTGTTAAATTCTATTACCTTAGGTCAGTGTTTCTTAAACTGTGGTTCGCGTACCTCTTAGGGGTACTCGAAATTTTTTAAGGGGTACGAATCTGGCCAACAGACTTTTTAATAAAATAGAAGAAAAATCCTATAGAAATAAAAATAGTATCTAACCGTTTCATTCGTCATTGCCGGAAATAAAATCTTGCGTCGTTACTGCGAACGACTCGCGCGTGTGTGCATTATCGGCTTATCACGTGTTATGAGAACGACATACCATATAACCAGTATAATATTAATGATTTTTTTAGCGATTAACTGGCACGTGTGAAATGATGCACACAAATATAAATAAGACATATACATGTCAATAGAACACGGGTTATCTTGTGGGAATGCTCAAACCAACGCAGTTCGTATCACTGTGAGCTATATCATTAGAGTAGTATTGCCTGTTATTACAAGCTCGCTCACAGTATTGTGTTACGTGTTATTTTGTGTTGTTATGCGGACACTCAAGCCTATTCAAACAATTGTTCAGGTCTGTTGACTCCGTTTATATAATTCTGTTTGAAATGTGAGTACAGTACTTAAGTATAATATAGTAATTATAGAATTTTGTATATAAATTAAATAAATATATTTATTGTATAACTATAATTTATATTAAAAATTAACAACGAATAAATGGCTCTTAAATAAAAAGCCTCGTGAGGATAATGATCAAAATCCTGAGCTATCAACTTCACAAAATTTAAGTAGACCTGAATTTTTTGATGCTAATGAGCAGCATAAAGGAAAAATTAAAAAACTTAAAAAGCTGATAAATGTCTCTAAAACTAAAAAAAGAAAATATGACGAGTTGTATTTAAAATTAGGTTTTACTTGGACTGGAAACATAGACGAGCCTAATCCATAGTGCGTTGTTTGTTCTGAAATATTATCAAACAGTTCTATGAAACCATCATTTTTAAAACACCATTTAGAAAGTAAACATACAAATTTATTGAATAAGGAGTTAGAGTATTTTGAACGTCTTTTAGAAGATCTTAAAAATAGAAAAAACAACATAAAACATTTTTCTGGTGCAGAACAAAATGCAAATGCACTAAAAGCTTTTTGCAAAGTTAGTCATTTGATCGCAAAGTCTGGAAAAAACCATACTGTTTGCGAAAACCTAATCCTCCCTGTCGCAGTAGACATTTTTTCTTGCATGCTTGGAGAAAAGAGTAAAAAATAATTAAAATAATTCTATTATTAAATGATACAGTTTCAAGGAGAATCAATGATATGGCGTGTGATACAAAAGAACAACTTGTTCGAAGAATTCGAGTTAGCCCTTGCTTTGGGATACAACTCGATGAAAATACGAATGTTGCTGGTCTAGCCCGACTGATCGTTTTTCTTCGTGGCATATTTCAAGATGAAGTATTTGAAGATCTTTTATTTTGTAAGACACTTAAAACATCCACAAAAGGTGGAGATATTTTCAAATTGCTAGATTCTTTTTTTTCTGAAAACCACTTTGAATGGAAATATTGTATGTCAGTGTGTATAAATGGTGCCAAAGCTATGAGCGGTCACATCACAGAGTTGGTAGGCTTTATTAAAACAGTTTCAGCTGAGTGTAAGTTCACTAATTGTATCCTTCACTGAGCAGCTAAGCACCTCCCTGAGGAATTTAAAAAAGTCCTTGATCAGAGTGTAAAAATTGTAAACTTCATCAAATCTAGGCCTCATAAATCTCGCTACTTTAAAATTCTATGTCAGGATATGGAGACCCTTCATGCAAATGTATTGCTTCACACTGAAGTACGATAACTATCACGGGAAAATGTTTTGTCCCGTGTGTTTGAACTCCGTAAAAATTTTATATTTTTTTTACTGAACACAAATCGCATTTGTCTTCAGTAATTACTGAATTTAATTGGCTTTTGAAGTTGGCTTATTAAAGTGATATTTTTGAAAAACTCAACATCTGGAATTTGTCCACGCACGTGTTTCTAATATTTTTTATATAGAAAATAAAACTAATGCAATGATTAAAAAGATTACTCTCTGGGAAAAAGAAATATAAAAAACCAACTATGAGCCTTTTGAAAGATTTAACATATTTTTGCAAGATAATAAGAAAAATTTACCTAATTTTACTGAACTCAAGACTCAAATGGCCCAGCACTTGAATGCACTGAAGATCCGTATAAGAGAGTGTTTTCCACCTTCGGAGAAACAGTATGACTGGATACGTGATCCCTTTGATGCTGATGCTATGGACACTAACCTGACTACTTTTGAAAAGGAGCAGCTCCTTGAAGTTTCGTGTGATCCCACGATGAAAAACAAATACTTAAGTTCTGGTATTACATTATTAGATTTCTGGATCTGTATTGGAAAAGAACAAAAAGAACTATCTAGCACTGCTGTCAAATTTCTTGTTGGGTTTTCCACCACCTATTAATGTGAAAAAGGTCTTTCAACTTTAACTTATGTTAAAAGTAAATATAGAAACAAATTAAATGTTGGAGATGATTTAAGATTAGAACTAATCTACTAAGTTAGAACCCAATATTGAACAACTGTGCCAACAGAAACAAGCTCACCCTTATCACTGATTTCTTTTAAAGTAAGCGCTTTTAGTTTTAAAAATGTTTTGTTTATTAATTTTTAATAACTTAATCTTAATGAAATAAAAATGTATGCAAGTCTGTACATTTTTTTATACATATTTCAGTTTAGTAACTAAGAAGGGGTACCCAAAAAAATGGATTGGTAAAAAGGGGTACCGTGTTCATAAAAGTTTGAAAATTTCTGCCTTAGTTTTTTGTTATCGATGTTGATACATAAGAGAAAACCTATTATAAAACCTATTTTAAATTCAGTTGTCGTTAACTAGTTGTCACTGGTCGTTCATTAGTTTGTGTTGAGTGTTTAATTTGAAAATTAAATAAGAACCAGTATGGCAAAAATAATATCAGAATATCAGAAAGTTTTTCAACAAATAATGAAAAGAGATGGACATATTTCGCACGATGGGCGCAGCCACTGTTGGTGAGAAGTTGGGAAGGTAGGGTATAGAGGAGAAATTACTTTGTATCTGCAAGCAGCGATTAACTATTGCTTACTAAAAATGATTCTAAGCGGAGTTCAGTAGATAGTGATGCTTTGTCAACAATATATATATATATATGTGATGGTAAAATAGGCATGATACATTTTTTTTAGTAATATTTGTTAAATATTGTACTGATTTTACCGTTTTTCCATGTTTTTCCCGGGTTTTCACATTTGCTGGGAAAAATCTTCAGAAAATTGAAAATTACCTTCCTAAAGTACTTTCCCAGTCAGATTTCCTATCAGAAAAATTGTTATCATTGTAAATCAGAGCAAAACTACTGGTAGGAAAATTGTCCACAGAAAAAGAAAAATAAACATCTTTGTAAAATCAATACATATTTCCCTACGCTCAGAATCTAAAATGTTATTAAATTAAGTGTATAATAAAACAAAATTATCTTTTTTGTATTTTTTTTTTTTTTTTAGTTAATTGATAAATCTATTATGCATACATATTAATATATATATTATTACATTCACGCATATTTGCACACATTTCGTAAAATAAAAAGATAATAATCTATTAATATTATTTATCTTGTAACGAAATTTCTATTTAACGAATTTTTTTCAAGGAATCATCATGTTTGTTAATTAGGGGTTTAACTGTATTAAAATTGTTTATTAAAAAGTAAATATAATGCATAATAGGTGTACTTGTTCAAATTTGAACTTTTAATAATCATTAATTAATATTATATTAATTATGCAAGTAGAATTTATTTTATATATGTTCAAAAATCAAAATAAATCTTTTTTTTTTTTGTAATACTATTATTTATTTACTTATGAAAATCGAATACTTATACCTTGAAACATTCGGGAGAGTTTTTGAAATATTAAACATTTCACGATAACATACTAATACCCTATAATATTATATTACCATTCAAAAATTATACCTAGGTACACAATATAATAATATTGACTCGAACAGTATATATTTTGTGACTATGTACACAAATACAAATATATATATATATACATGCTATAATGTTAAACCAGCATGATACCATTGTCGGACGTTAAACAACGCTCTATAATATTCATCTCGGTCAATATTGTCTTTTTCGCCATTCGCGGGGGGGGGGGTTCGACTACGGTTGTTACGCAAAACAATTGACCTTTATACACGCGACCGGTATTATTTCATGAAAGGCGGGTTAGGGAGACGTTAACCTTTAATGGCAGTCCAACCTTTACAACCGATTTTAGTCTAATATTTTACGCTACCAATAATAGGTGGATATACAACTTATATTACAGGTACACCGTTACTTATACTTAAAATTATACTACTCGTTATTGGTTGATATGTTTTAGTTATTATAAACATCGGCGGTCTATATGCAAAAAGGTAACCGGGTTACCCTGGATTTTCACCACTAAAAAACACAATGAAAATAATATTTTACACAAAAATGTTTACAATAAATTACAAATTGTATAATGTACAGAGTGACCATATTAAATCAACATAGTAAGTTATTAAATTATAACAGCTTTATATTTTGTAACTTTGACCTTTGTATATAGTAATTACATTTAATATAATCTTATCAATACTTGTATAAATTGTACTTATTTCATACAAATTATCATACACACACATGAAAACACTTACTGTAGCAATACTGAAGTAACAATAGCTGTTAGCGTGGTTCCTGACAAAAACTTAAATTACGCGTTACTGCCATGGCACCATAATGTGCTCTAATAGCTATGCTCGACTTTTCTATAGATATTCGTAAGATCACTGTATTTAAAAACTTAACGAAAGGTGATTTATTTCAATACAACGACTTGGTTTAAATGAACCATACGCATATGACTCACATGAAAAGAAAAATGGTCGCCTGCTGTTGACCAATCCCAAGGTCTAGACAATAGACGTTATAGTTTTTCCGGACGTTACGGCGGCCGTTTTTGCGCTCTCAAACTTCTTGGATACCAAGAAGTGCAATTATTTAATACCTTCGTGTATAAAGTAGCATAGACATATTAATAAATGCACTACGATTTCCTCAACTCTACGTATGATGCTCGTGAACAATACTGAGCGAGAAGAATAGCGATAATAGTTACGACAATCATGTATAAAATATTACTATTACTATACTAATTAATTCCGATAATTTCAAAAAATGACCTCTTTAAAGTACTACCCAGAGAACATTTTCTTTCAAAAAAAGTGCTATACTTGATAATTGGAGTAAGTTTTCTGGTAGAAATTGTTCACATAAAAAACAAATAAAAAAATAAACATTTTTGTAAAACCAATACATTCTTCATTCCACTCAGAAGCTATAACAATTTCTTTTGTAACAGAATTGGTTATTGTACAAATGTACAATAACCATTTAGTTAATAATAACCATTACAGTTTCCTCGGCGTTTTTTTTCAAGTTTTTTCATTGTTAGGAATATTGCAAGGAAAATCAAAAAATTACTATCTCTTGCATCAACTAGATAAAAATGTTTTCTAGAACGTCAGATTTAAAGTTAATGATCAAAGGAAAATGTCTAGTATATAAAAATTAATAAAACCATATATCATAGTAGGATTGAAAATAAATAAAAATTATACTTGCACTATTATCACTAGTTGTTGTTGTTTTTTTTTTTTTTTTTGAAAATTATTAATCAATATGTTTTAAAGTTTTTGCAAAGAAGGGCGGAAAATGTCCCACGTGTTAGGTTGTCTTCAATAAATGGAAGAAACGCAAAAGTCATAAAACCACTCTTCTTTTATTTTTTCAATTCGAACACTGACCCTAAGTGTATAATGTATATACTTCGTTATTTGCGTGGTTTCTACCCTAAAAAAGATTTTTAATAAACGTTTTAAACATGATTTAATGTCCACCCTTACCCTCCAGCATTCATAGTCTATTATTTCCGCTTGCATAATAAATCGATTCGAAATGTTATTACATTCCAACTCGAATTTTTTAATCTTTGAAGTTATATATATTAATGTCTATTGTATTCCTTTCTAAAATATAATCGTAACATTTTAGTTAAATGTATAGCGTTATAACATGTATTCCCCCCCCGCCACAAAATTTTTCGACTACATAATTCTAAAAATGACAGTTTTAAAGCTTTTGTAATTGCGACAAAGAATTATATTTTATTATTTTATGACTTCGATAAATTAACAACAGTAAAAAACAACTACAAGAACCTTTAGTTTTATTATTTATTGTAAAATGAAGAACTTTTGGCATATTAAGCTTAAAGAAGTTTCAAGCGAACAATATTTTAATTTATTTAATTTTTTTTTTTCGGCTCGATTGATTTTGACTATTTTGTATACGGTCGACGCAAGAATTACACACAATCGTCTCATCTCTTATATACATATACAATCAAAAATCATAAAACAATTGTAATAATATATAATACTTATTCCTACTCGTATATTATATTATACTTAAATCACCATATTAAATTTAATGTAAGTAAAACTTAGATAATAACAACTGATATAATTTTCAAGACCAGTAGTAATATATTACATTAATATTACAGGTATTCATCGGCTTAAAATGAGAGGAAAATATTAATCAAATGCACATTTTTCAGGAGAGACAAAAAAATTTTTTTAGATTCTGAGTGTAGTGAAGAATTTATCGGTTTTACAAAAATATTTATTATTTTTATACTATGTACGAAAATTCTACCAGAAATCTTGCTCCGAAATATCAAGTATAGTACTTTTTCTAATAAATGAGGAAAAACGTGGTCAAAATCATAAAAATAAATACAATATTAAACAAATATTATTAAAGAAAATATATAATGCATATGTAATTATTTTACCATAATGTGATATATATATATACAAAGTAACACTATTAACTTAAATCCGATCCGATTCGTTTTTTGTTATTAATGGTTAACCATTGTGTGCAGTTGTATACTAAATTTCCTCTCTCTTCCCAACTTTTCACCTATAACAGTAACCCACCAACGTTCGAAATATGTCCGTCTTTTTAAATTGCATTTATGTTTGAACTAAATTTGTTAAAATTTGCATTTAGTTTCATATCTAATCAAAAAATTTGAAAGTTAAAGTTATTTCATTTGAACACTGAACTCTACAAACAAAATTTGGTTCATATTATACATCAAAAAAATAATTTGTTTGTCAAAGTTTATAAAACGTCTCTAAAGTATAATTGAATAAGGGTAAATTTACTGTTTGAATTTCAATTAAATTTAATAGGTATTGCTGGAAATTATTATCGTATCTATAAGAAATAATAAAGAACAATAAATCGTATATTTTAAAAGTTAAGACTTCATTTTGTTTGATTTCTATATGATTTCCCTAGAAAATTATGGAATTGATTGAAAATGCATGTGTTTTTTTTTTACACGAAATTTTCGAAACTTTGTGTATATATATACATAATATTATTAAGTATTATAATGTCATGATTTCGGCAATTGCCTACAACTGCTACACGAACAGCGTTTATTAAATCTGATGATAATGTTTTCCAGCATCGAAAACGTTTAAATTGAAAAAAAAGAAACTCTATGAAAGAAAAACGGACGATTGAAATTTCATTAAATATTTGTATCGTAGAAAAATAAAAGTTGGGACGGAATGGTGGCCGATACTACAGGGGTAACTTTTTGTATAATTTATTTATTTTTTGAGTAATAAAAACAACGGTAAACCATTATTTCTATTCAAACACCGAGATTATTATAGTATGACACCTGTTCAAAGCAATCTAAAGTGATATCCACATGCTAATAATTCTGTCAATATATATTTTTTTGGTAGAATAACACATTACGCAATTACATTTCTTATCTTTATTGAATAATAATTGTTTTCACGTTTATTTTCTATAATTCTATAAATTTAAACGGCTAGGTATTACTAAGAAACCATTAATCAAATATAAATGTATGTAACATTAAAATTTTTAGAATAATATCTTTTATAAAATGGCTGTTAAGAAATTTTTAAAAAGAGATAAAATAAAAAGTTATTTTTTCAATAAATAATAAAGGGATGAAAATAAAATTTGATTTTTCTCTACATATATAGTTCTCCCTTAAAACAGGGTTTGAAAAAAAAATTATTGCATGTTAACAGAATAATTAGTATAAGGATAACACGGTAGGACACAATGATAGTTCAAGTATCGTCTGAATGTTTTGAACATTTTACCACGTCTTACATAAGTATTCGATGCAAATTTGAGGTTTCTACGATGATTTTTAACAATACAAAACGAACAATACATTAATTACAATAATAATAAAAACAAAACAAAACCGAAATTAATGAAATCATTATTTTCATAAACTTCCTACATTATTGACCAGTTTTTCCAATTATTTAGAAAATAAAAAAAAAGACGAATATACTTCGCACGTGGGTGGACCTCAGTTATAGATTAAAAGTTAGGGAGGTAGTGAGGAAATTTAATGTATATCTGCACGCAACGGTAAACCATTGCTAACGAAAAAACCATTCTGATCGCAGTTCAGTTGATATTGATGCTTTATCAATATTATGTATGTCATATTATAGTAAAATAAATAAATAGGCATTATATATTTTCTTTAATAATATGTGTTTAACATACTACGGATTTTCCCGGCTTATCACATTTGCTAAGAAAACTTGGAAAAATCGAAAAACAACTTCCCTAAAGTACCTTTTCCCAGTCAGATTTACTTTCAGAAAAAATGTTCTCATTGTAAATCGGAGCAAATTCGATAATAGAAAAGTTGTACACAAAAAAAAGGCCATCATTTTTTTTACTAATACCTACATTTCGTAAATTTTCTATTTTTCCGATATTATCCCGTTTTTTACCTAGTTATTAGGAAAACCACTTGAAAAATCAAAAAAATTACCATTGAGATAAAATTTGCTTTCAAAAAATAAACTACATTAGATACATCGGAGCAAAATTTCTGGTAAAAAACTTTGCACAACAAATCGAGGGGTAATTTGCAATTAAAATAGTTTGAGCGAGTGATAACTAGGTCTCTAGGTACACTTAAAATGCATTTATTTTTCCCTATTTAGGTAAAAGGGAAAAAATTGCATACAATTTTGTTTAAAACCAGGGTTTGAACTCAGACCCCCTAGGATGATAATAGGCAAGTATAACCATTAGATCACGACAAATATGCTTTAAGAAAGATAATGTAGAGTTATTTAACATAACATATAATATTCGCATAATAACAGAACTTCAAAAAGCTATAATTTCGAAATTTGGTCATCCCGCTCAATAATTCTGACTTCTGAATTCTTAAATCGACAATACACATATGTTCCAAAAAAATAATAGAAAAATTAGATTTGTTCCACAGAAATTTTTACTCAAACGATTATCGTCAAAATTTGATATTAAAATTCCCTTATAGAAGAAATACTACATTTAGACTCAATTTTCAAGCATTTCTGCTAAGTCTAACAAATTTACCACGTAGTATCTACCGAATAAAAATTACGTACAAAACTCGCAAAATTAAAATGTCTATAAATAGTTCAAAACTGGCTTAAATTTTTTGAAAATTTTACCT